ATAGATCTGTCTTTTTGCTGAAATGATTATATGATTAAGTAATGGGTTTTACTTAAGGGCAAAATACACCAAATATTTTGTCAAATTGACTTTTTGTATCAAATAAGTGTTAATCCAAATTTGAAGATCCTTCCAAAACTTCTTAGTTTCACTACATTCCCAGTAAACATGGCACAAGTTTTCATCTTCATCTTTACAAAAGCTGCATGAGGCGCTCTGGATAAGGTTCATTTTAAAAAGTTCCTTTTTGGTATAGATAATACCGTGTAAAAATTTATATTGGAACTCTAAGAGTTTTACATCATTAATGTCTTGTCTGTAAGACTTGAAAATCATTGGCCAATCAAAGTCAGTATCTTCAAACACATTCTCCCATTTATGACACATATGAGGGTTATTATTGTTAAATAACAATATATCATAAAATAATCTTGATCCTTGTAATGATTTCATAAAATTCTTTTGATAGGAGTTAAGATTCATGTCATAGTTATTTATACACCTGTGATTTGTTATTGTATTTTTCCATGATTCAGGTATATTATTTAGAACATATCTATGATCTAATTCTGTCCCTTTTATTGCATATTTACTTTTTAAAGATTCAAAAGACATCAAACCTTCTTCATCACACATGTCTTTGATGGTTAATAGTCCTTTTTTTGCCCAATGACTGATATAATGATTTTGGTATTTAAAATTATGATTAAACCATAATGGCTGTGCTAAAATTTCATCAGTGTTGTTTTCCTCTATGGTAATGTTAGTACAATACATGTTCCATGCTTTTAAAACATCTTTCCAATATGGATTATGAATATCAGCAATATAATAGAAGTTAGCACCAAATTTCATGATATCATGTAATGGAAAATTGCATGGATTACATATTGATGATTTTCTTAAATAAAGTCTCAAAGTGGATAGTTTCAAGGCATTGATAAAGGTTTTTATGTCGATCATTCTTAAACCCCCATGTATATAATCTTTTTCAAGGTACTTCTCTTAATTTTGTCAGTTTTGTCAGTCAGATGAATTTGAAAAATATTTTATTAAGGGAGGTAACAAAATCTTAGGGTGGGTTTGGTAAAAGTACTGAAAATATGAACTAATTTTGACATAGCTAGTGTCTTGATAACAGTGATTTTGCCGATTAATGTTAAATGTCTTTTTCTCCACACTGCCAATAATCTGTTAATTTCCTCTAGTTTTTTCTTTGTATTGATGATCCATAGATCCTTCAGTTCAGCATTAAGTATAATTCCCAGAACAACAAATTCATTTTTTCGCCATTCAATATTCAAATCCTGACATAGTTTATCACCACAACCTGCTTTAGATCCAATCCAGATAGCTTTAGTCTTATCAATATTTATTTTTAGTCCTGACATCCTATAGAAAGTATTAATTGCATCAACAGCAGAATATAGACATTTTTCTGTACCATCTAAAAACAACTCAGTATCATCTGCATATTGTCCTAATTTATACTCTGTATCATCAATTACTATACCTTTGATATTTTCATTTTGTCTTATCATGCATCCAAGGATTTCAGCTACAAAAAGGAAAAGATATGGTGATAACGGATCCCCTTGTCTACAGCCCGTTCATTTGAAAAGAATTCTGAGAGATGTCCATTTTGAATAACACAAGAAGTTGTATTATAGGGTTAGGATATTTATCCACCTAGTAATTTGGGGACCAAACCCAAACTTTTTTAATACCAAATTTATAAAATCCTTAGAGACAGTATCAAAAGCCTTTTCAAAATCGATCAAAATTAATAAACCTGGGATGTCTCTTCTTTTTGTCTCAAACATAATGTCATAGAGTAATCTTGTGTTTTCACTTATATTTCTACCAGGTATAAAACCAGTCTGATTTTCATGTATAAGAGAGTACAGGGTTGTTTTAACCGATTAGAAATACAAGTACTTACTATTTTATACAGTGAATTCAATAAAGTTATTGGTCTCCAGTTTTTTAAAGGGTTCTGTTTTTATCTGGCTTGGGTATACATGTAATAACACCTCTTTTCATTGTGAAAGACATTTGATTCTTATTAAAATTTCTTTAATAAATCTATAGATCAATATTTAAGGTCTTTCCAAAAATATTTAAAGAAATCTATTGGAAATCCATCTACACCAGGGCTTTTGTTATTTTTCATATGTTTAACAGCCAATGTTATTTCTTCCATGTCAATATCTTTTTCTAATTTGTTTCTAAGATGGCCAGTTAAAGTGGGAGTTACCACATCTTGTAAACAAGTTTCATCCTCATATTTCCTGCCAGAAGAATAAAGTTGTTTGTAAAATGTTTTTACTTCATTTAAGATAGAAAAGCTGTCAGTAATTTCGTCATTGTTATCCGTGACAATCTTATTAATTGATTTGCTGACATAATTTCTATTTTCTAGTTTGCAAAAATACTTGGTTGGCTTTTCCCCCTCTTCATACCATAAAATTCTGTTTCTGAGCTGTATACCCCTTATTTCATCTTCTTTAATTTGTTGTAGTTCAAATTTATATTTTGCAAGTTCAGATAATAAATTTTTCATCTATAGTTTGAAAGTCCTTTCTTATTGATTCTTCATAGTCTTTAATTTTAGTTTCTAATTCTGTGGTTTTATCAATTGTTTTCCTTTTTAGAAAGGTTGAAAAAGAAATTGATTTTCCCCTAACATTCATAAGGAAGGTTTCTAAAATAAACTATCATCAATCTTAAGTTTTATATTAAGGTCATTAGCATTTTCATCATATACATCAATATCTGAATATTCTTCAACTGTGTCCTTTAATATGGATCTAACAAGTTCGCTATACTCAGGTTGTAACAATAAAGACGTATTAAATTTCCAATATCCCCGCCCTCTTTCTTGGTTAATAGTATTTGAAAAGAGTAGGTAATAGCTGAGTGGTCCGTTTTATAGCCTGGTAGAATATCGGAATCAAGCGTAAGGTTCAGCAAATCTTGTGAGATTAAAAAAATCCAGTCTGGCTTGTTGTCTTGGATGTTTTTTCCACCATGTAAATTTTTCAGATTATCATTCGAATCACGCCAAATATCCACAAGATCATAAGCTGCAATTGTGTCTAAAACTACTTTTCTGGCCTTGGGATTGTTGATATTTTTGTAATTTTCTAAATCAATGGAAGGATCAAGAACCAGATTCCAATCCCCTACCATAACCAGAGATTCATTCTCAAAATTGGATAAACTTTCGAAAAGCTTTACATAAAATAGTGGGTCATCAATATTTGGTCCATAAAGGTTTGTGAGGGTAAATCTTTTATCTTCTACAGTTATGTCTGCAATAATAAAATTTCCACCTTCATCTTCCAGAGTTTTATGTATAGTGAGATCAATATTATTATTGAAAAGTATTGCAACACCTCTTGAATTGGACTTGAAAGGTGCAATTATACTCTGCAATCCCCATTCATTTCTCATTTTATTAACATCTTCTTTGGCTATATGGATATCTTGTAAGCTATTACCTTGTTCGGGGAATGTATCCATCAATATCAGGCTATTACCTTGTTCGGGGAATGTATCCATCAATATCAGGCTATTACCTTGTTCGACGAATGTATCCATCAATATCAGGCTATTACCTTGTTCGAGGAATGTATCCATCAATATCAGGCTATTACCTTGTTCGAGGAATGTATCCATCAATATCCACATAAAGGAATGAGATGCCATTCATCTGCAGCTGACAAAGTATCCTGCTCCATGTCATGTGTCTTTTACAGTCTATCTATCGTTTCACATTGGTGTATAGTCCCAATGGTCACCCAAGATAGCACACCTGGCAACTAATTGCATTATGTCCGCCATTCTTTAAAAAAGTAATTTAGTTAGCCAATAATGAGTAATCAATCAATGTATTGGCGGTTAATCCTTTGAAGGAAGGACGTTGTTTTTACAAAGAGACTTTACGACAGGGTGTATTCAGTATAGATTAGTAAATCTACCTACATAAACACTACCTTTTGACAAATCCGCTGTGCAAGATAAAGGCAATTAATCAATCAGCGTGTTATCGGTTAATCCTTTGATCGATGTTTGTTTTGTAACTCAGCTGATAATTCCTCTTACTGCACTTCCATGCGCATATTACATAAGATGTAATACATTTGCCACATCAGACCTCAATTTATAATGATGAGTATTTACTCCAGACACAAGAAATGCCAAATGGGAACCTTTGTCGGGTAATCTGAGTGGTGTTATCACTAATTATACCTGTTATATATTCATTAACCGACCATCGATGTTCGCGACATTGACTAAATTATTCGTTCACTAAGCGCATGAGTACATTCGCGGACGATGTGACCTGTTAGCTCTACCACGTAGCACCGAAAATGTTTTTAACAGTTTTCAAAGTCCATAGGTAGGAAGATCTTAAGTTCTGTCCTGAAAGGTATTGTAACACTTCAGCTCACATGGTCCAGCCTACGATTGCAGGTGTTGTAACACATTACCTCACGTGGTTCAGTCTACGATTGCAGGTGTTGTAACACATCACCTCACGTGGTTCAGTCTACGATTGCATCAGCTCACATGGTCCAGCCTACGATTGCAGGTTTTGTAACACGTGGTCCAGTCTACGACTGTAGGTCTTGTATCCTGCCAGCTCACATATTCATACATAGAATATATTGGCGGTTAATTGTATGTCTTATCCTAATATGGTTCATCAGAATCTACTATCACTGTTACGAGTTAACACTTTACATATTAAAGCTTTGTACAGTCAGCAGTTGAAACGTATCCACTGAAACTTTCCAGTGCTATAGTGCATATCGCAGAGGCTTGTATCACATTAGCCCACGAGCTTCATCATACCTCCAGTTTCTTGCTAGTGTCTGTTCTATATCAGCTCACCTGGTCCATGTTTCCAGCGCAAATCGTGTCGGTGACATATCACCTCGTCTGTGGCCCCTATACCTGAAAACCTTAACGCTTTGTAGTCAGGACCCAGAACAATCACTTCACATTTTATTCCGGCAAATATTGAAATTTCTCATGCAGGTTAAACTTGTGTATTCGCCCTTTCCTCACAATAAAGTACCCCACATTGTCCCCGTAAAGTTTTGAAAGAATGGTACTCATTGCTGATTGGTCAAATCGATGACACGTGCCGTATGTCCTGATCTTCATCCTACAGTCATACACACTAGAGAGCGGTTGGGTCGTACCATACGGGCACATACAATTGGGGGGAGAAGGCGCAGACAAGCCAGGGATACAGGATGGCGTGTTGGGTGTAGAAACTGTTGTGCCATAATGAGAAGCCTCCCTCCACCTCCCGGAAACGGGACATGAGACAAGGCGTCACTCCAAAGTAGGTATACATCCGGGGATCTGTGTGGATGGCTGTTGAGGTGGATGACATGGAGACCATCATGCCCCGCTCTCGTACTTCCTCGAGAACTGACGTGAGGTTTGAAGTTGTGAAGCGGACAGAAGGATCGGCCCAGATGACGAAGTCTGACACAGGGAGATGAGCCTTTAAGAAGGAAGGAGACAGTTGTTGTGATACAGTCATATCCGTACAACTACAAACATTTATGTACATTGATTGTTGATTATCTGACGAAACAGATTCCAAGTCAAAATAGCCATTAACTGTATATGAATGGATTACTGCACATCAGTGATGACACCAGGTGTTCGGGAAAAGGATAAGCTTGTTCGTCCCTCTGGTAAAACCAGCTGTGTTTTATTTTTCCCAGTTAAGGATTCATTTGCAAATGTTTTATCTATTTCTGTGCCTCTGCATCAAACAAATATAGGATGAACTAGACAAAGATAACGTCTATGTTATATCGTAATTGTGATGTTTCGTACATATCCATGTGCAGTCCTTTTCGCTTTATCTTCCCGTATCTTAAAAGAAATGTCTATCGTCACTTCACTTAATATTAAGACATACTTAATATGTTATGATGATCACATCCACCACAATGGTCAATACACACACGCGTTTTATGACATTACCAACTTACGGAAAGTATTTTTGTCTAATGACCACACCCATCCATATCAAGGCAGGGATACATGTACATATAATCTATGGTGACCAGTCCTACCTTTATGACAGGGCGGTCGGGTAGCCCAGTGGGTAAAGCGTTCGCTCGTCACGCCGAAGACCCGGGTTCGATTCCCCACATGGGTACAATGCGTGAGGCCGATTTCTGCTGTCCCCCGCCGTGTTATTTGCTGGAATATTGCTAAAAGCGGCGTAAAACCATTCTCACTCACTCATCTACCTTTATGACAGCGGCACCTACCGTTGAATGGAGGCACGAAGTCTATCCCGACCACACCCACCTGACTGATGGCCACGCCCATCTTTATAATTACCACACCTACCTGCAAGATAGCGGGCTTCCAGGCGTAGGACTTGAGGTTTGAGAAGACTGGCGGGAGTTGAGAGAAGGGGAAGCTCCTCAGCTGGCATTGGGGGCAATGGTTCTGGAACTGAGGTAAGCAATGGACAGCTGCATGATAGGATGTCCACAAGTTTCAATAGCAACAAGAAACTGCAGGGCTCCAGATAATTTTTCAACATCAGGAGTACGTACTCCTTATTTTTTCAATATAGGAGTACTGGAAAAACTTAAAGAGTACAGAATGGAATTTAATGGAGTACCAGTAAGCTTCTGTTTCATTTCATATATGCACCACAACATTGCTACTGTTGTGTAAACAGGTAGGAAAAACAATAAAACAATAAAAATTCAGTCTGTAAATGATTCTAAGACCGTACACCATTGCTGTGGTGCGTATCTGCTACATTTTCTAAATTATTTCCTACCGTATCGTGCATATATTTTATCCGTACATACGCCGATACGGCCCTTATCTGGAGCCCTCCGAGAAACAGTATATTTTCAAACTTTAATCACTTTGTCTAGTCTAACGTTGTATGGTTGATGCCTACGTTTCTGCAGTTCCCTTCTCATTCGCTGCAAAGACCTCGATATGTGCATGTAAGTATATATAGACACCCACACATACACATGCATCTCTAGATATAGCTATGGTGATACTGATGCTGTTAAGATCATCATCTGACAATGATAGTATGGACTGTAGGAATACTAGTCCATTGACTATGCTTCCAGTCTCCATAACACGTCAAAGGTTTGAAAAATAGCATCCTCAAGTAGGACATTCCGTTACAGTACAGGTCACGTCGGAACCACCTTTCGCGAACTTTTACTGATCAATAACCTCAGTAAGTCGGGTTTCAAAATGGCTCCATTCCAGACAACAACACAACTAAGTTCTCGAAAGGCATTTTGAAGTTGGTCGAACAACTAAGTTGTTAGCCATAAAACGTGTCATGTATTCAACGACATAACTGCAGCATCAGTTTAAGGATAGGTTGGATATATAAATTGCCCAAGTGTTCGCTCTGTCCAGTGGTAGTTGTCCACCCATCCAGGTTCCAATTCCCACAAGTGTACAGTGTGTGAAGCCTAGTTTTGGTACTCACGCTATTATGGTGATTAAAACATACACACTCACCCATACACTCAGAGTTTATGTTATGTCCACTCTTCTACATAACTTGATACCCGTGACGATCCGGGTAATCATTTGTGTTCAGCAACGTTGAGTGAGTTGGTTTTAGCAATATTCCAGCAATATCACGGCGGGGGGCACCAGAAATGAGCTGCACACATTGTACCGGCGTGACAGGCGAACGCTTTCACCACTGGGATACCCCACCGCCCCTCAGCAATGTTGCTTGCTGTAAGAGGCATAAAACGGGATCGTGTGGTCCGGCTCAGTTACGTAGATGATGTCAGTTATTGCGCATGACGTCAAATATTGTCATTGTCTGATCCATTGTCAATATCTGGTACAACTCACTTATTTACAGACCGTTGTCATATGGAATATTAGTGTGAGTTCTATACAACAAACAGACTGAGCAAGATTTAAGGAATCACTCACGGAATATCGCTGTTTGTCGTTGAGGCCAAGGTCATACACATAGAACCGGAAGTCCAGCTGACTCGGGAACACCTCCTCCACAAGGTTCTTGATGAGCGGCTGAACCTCCAGATAGTTGCTAGCGGACACAGCCGTCAGGAAGGTCACGCTGGTCGCGTCCACTGACTGGTCAGTCAGATTTCGCAGCACATGCATGTATTTTACAGGAAAGACGTATTGGCGACGGAGCAGATCACGCAAATTATCTTCCGGTGGGTGAAGGAAGTCATCGGAACACGTGTCATCCAGACAAGGTCGAACTGAAAACATTTATGTACCAAAATATTGTATTAATTCATAATGTAAAAACATCATGAATGTACATCGAGTGCTTGACAAGCTCTTAGATTATACACTGGGGTGGGGTGGATCGGGGGTGGGAATGGGAGTGGGTGGATCAGGTGGGGTGGGTGTGTGTGTGTGTGTGTTTGTTTTTTGTTTTTTTGTTGCTGTTAAGCCTTGTTGTACCCCGTTCGTTTGGCAAGCATGAACCCGGCTTCCATTCCCTGCATGATAACAATGTAAGCGGGGTTTAATTGATTTGTATCATTCTACCAAATACGATATCTAAGTCGTTCAATAGATTCAGACAACTAGAATCTGTACTTTACTGAGAAAGTGTAATCCCAAATATAACATGTTACAATTGACCATTTTCTACGTGGCATTGTGTATTCAGATTCAGACCCGTTTAAATCCGGGTTAGAATTGGTCAACGCATGCTTGAGGTGTCCAACGGGATCGAGTGGTCAGGCTCGCTGACTTGGTTGTCACATATCGGCGTTATTTACTGACCGCCCCCATATAGCTGGAATATTGCTGAGTACGGTGTTAAGAAACAGTAGGGGCTGCCAGTTTAAGTGGTTCCCCAGAGTGATTATGAATAATGTGCCTTAAAAATTCACTTGGTACTTTAGCTGGTCTATCAAAAACCCCGTACTTCTTAATAACGTTATTGCCACTGAGTCTGATACGACTTCGATCGACACATTTATTGTCAGGAGTTGCCGCTTTTGACTTACATATGCTACTCTCTTCGGCGCAGGTTTCCTTTGTGGAAGGGAAGAAATTTGGACCCTGCGACGTCAGAACTGTAACAGATACGAAAAAGCTCCAGCAACACCGATATCCACGACACAAACGCAATCTTTGCCTGCAACATCACCGCAACAATCGGATACAATAGGAGATTACTCCCCGGTGTGACTCACCTTTCATCTTCTCCTTGTATAAACCTACAAGTCTGTCAGCAACGTTGTGGTTGACATTCACCAAGTCTAGCTGTTTGATGACGTCCCCGCCATGTCTCCCATGACGTTCTTCAACCCCAAAGAATAATAATGTCAAACGAGTTAGCCCATGTGTTGCACTTTCACAATATATTGCCATACATATTGCAATACGCCAATACATACCGCAATATATCGCAATACGAAAATTTTGGCAATACCCAAACCTAATTGTGGTCCATGCTGTAAAGGGGCAACACATAGATGCTACTGATGCCTTAGACGACTGACCACCAGTGCCCTGATAATGTATAAAAGTAATCAGCAAAAAATAGTGAGCATTTCTGCCGAGTTAAATTAAGTTGAGAGATAGAAAATATCAACCATTCTCTGTTCACAAAATGCTTACCGGTGGGCTGACGCGTGTGCTCGGGTAGGTTCCCCCGAAACGTTTGGGTGCCTGACGTTTGCAGCATTGTGGCGAAGTACAATAACGTCACCACGAGCAGCAGAAACATCGGCAGCAACAACGACCTCCTACCTGCAACAGAAACAGCGTCGCTTGATACAGTTGATACTGTTGAGGTCAGTGAGTAATAATAGGACCAGGAGTCCCACCATTGATGTCAATAACCGTAGCAGGCCTACCATTGATGTCAATAACCGTAACAGTTCCACCATTGATGTCAATAACCGTAACAGTTCCACCATTGATGTCAATAACCGTAACAGTTCCACCATTGATGTCAATAACCGTAACAGCTCCACTATTGATGTCAATAACCGTAACAGCTCCACCATTGATGTCAATAACCGTAACAGTTCCACCAATGATGTCAATAAACCAATGATGTCAATAACCGTAACAGTTCCACCATTGATGTCAATAACCGTAACAGCTCCACCATTGATGTCAATAACCGTAACAGTTCCACCAATGATGTCAATAAACCAATGATGTCAATAACCGTAACAGCTCCACCATTGATGTCAATAACCGTAACAGTTCCACCATTGATGTCAATAACCGTAACAGCTCCACTATTGATGTCAATAACCGTAACAGCTCCACCATTGATGTCAATAACCGTAACAGTTCCACCAATGATGTCAATAAACCAATGATGTCAATAACCGTAACAGCTCCACCATTGATGTCAATAACCGTAAGAGCTCCACCATTGATGTCAATAACCGTACCAGCTCCACCATTGATGTCAATAACCGTAACAGTTCCACCATTGATGTCAATAACCGTAACAGTTCCACCATTGATGTCAATAACCGTAACAGTTCCACCATTGATGTCAATAACCGTAACAGTTCCACCATTGATGTCAATAACTGTAACAGTTCCACCAATGATGTTAATAACCGTAACAGCTCCACCATTGATGTCAATAACCGTAACAGTTCCACCAATGATGTTAATAACCGTAACAGCTCCACCATTGATGTCAATAACCGTAACAGTTCCACCATTGATGTCAATAACCGTAACAGTTCCACCAATGATGTTAATAACCGTAACAGCTCCACCATTGATGTCAATAACCGTAGCATGCCTCTTCGACATTCCTGAAACCCTGCTAAGCACGGCACTCTGATGTTCGAGACACCCTGATATTCCAGACACTCTGCTAAATACTGCACTTTGAAACCCTAATATTCCAGACACCCGATACAGCACTGCACTCTCATGTTCCAGACACCCCGGTGTTCTGTATACCCTGCTCAGCACTGCACGCGGAACTTCCAGACATCCAGATGTTCCACTGACATACTGATATTCCATATACCATGTTCAGCACCGCACACCGATGTTCCAGGCACTGATTTTACAGACACCCTGCTAACCGTTGGACTCGAATGTTCCAGACTAACCAGACCATCCCGATGGCCAAGACACCTGTCCTACCGATGCACCCTGATGTTAGCACTAAGTGGACCAATACTAAGTATGGTATTCCATATCAAGTTTGAGACAGACATTTTATTGTTCCATTCAAAAGTAGAGCAAAAATATGATACCAACCTAAAACACGTGTTGCTGATATCCAACAGCGTCGTTTCCCCATCATTCACATAATTCACTGAAACACATGATAGAAATAATGATTATGGTGATTAACAATACCAGTACGTCAAGTCTACTAGACCCCTGAAAATCCGGAGTCAGAATGTGGTCTTCAGCAACCCATGCTTGTCATAATAGGCGACTGACGGGATCGGAGGTCAGACCCTTCTGTTGCACGCTGGCGTAGTGGGGCGTTAAATCTACCTATGCACAAAATTATCCTTATCAGATCAACAGTGTCTCTACAATTGGATTTTACAAGGTGCCAATTACCAGATATCAGCCATACCAACCAGATAACGACGGTGTCCGCCCGGGAAGTCGACAAATGAAATTTCAGTTATCCTGGGAAGTCGACAAACTGAGTCCAGGTTTGCAGATAACGACCAAGTTTACCTTGAGAAAACTGTCAATTTTCTATTTGCAACGTCACGGTGCTTCCGGAAATAGGTCACGAGGTCGCTACCATTATTTGGGTGGCAAAGGGTCTATGGAGGAATTTCAAAATATAAACCAAGCTTTTGGGGTGTAATCGATATCTCTTTAAACGATTAGTTATTCCTGCGTGATTAGTGCAGCAGATGAACAAAACGTTATTTAAGAAATACAGTTCGGTCTACCCACATGTATAGTGTAATAAAGCATACTTTCGCCCTGAACTGTTATAGTTGAAGTACGAGGACGCTTTGCTTTATCGTTATAATAGTTCAGGGCGAAAGTGTGCTTTATTACACTATACATGGTGGTAGAGCGAACTGTATTTCTATTCTAAGATGCTAAATTTAAAACTTACCGACGATAAATCTAAGGCAGAAATCAAACAGAAAAACGACGGTGTCGGTGACCTAATTATTTTAATTACATCTGTGATAAACATAAACCATATGGGGCAATAAGAACGTCGCATTTTTACTACCAACGTAAGTTTAGATCAGTACATCCAACTGGAGCTGACTAGTTACGTGACATTCCATGGATGCATTGTGGGAATGTAAACATTGCGAACGTTGCCGTTGTTTAATTAAGAAATACAGTTCGCTCTACCACCATGTATAGTGTAATAAAACACACTTTCACCCTGAACTATTATAGTTAAAGTACGAGGACGCTTGCGTCCGAGTGCTTTAACGTTATAATAGTTCAGGGCGAAAGTGTGCTTTATTACACTATACATGGTGGTAGAGCGAACTGTAGTTCTTTTCTAAGATGCCAAATTTAATGCTTTCTAAGGATACTTACGAGTAATTTAAGGCAGAAAACAAACGACGGTGTCGGTGACCTAAAGTAAGAATCCTCGCACAGGGCTAACTGGCGCGCTGTTCTATTGATGTGTCTCCTGCCATTACGGGCGATACCAATTGAAATTGGAGTGTGAGTGACATCACGTTTTGACGCGTAACCATATAAATGGAGAATTCCAACTGTAATATTGGTCATTATCCATTGTCATGATATATTGGATATAAACCTACTCTGTTTTGAAACTGGAATGTATAATAGCTATACATTTAATACAAAATCTCACGCTAACGTGTTGGGTTTGAAATATTCAATTTAGAGATATATCCGTTAAACTACCTCTAATTTCAAACTCAGTAGTTTTATCTCGGTATGTGTAGGCCTACGTTCCTAGTGCTCTATTCATACAAGTCCCCCATGTTGATATCCTGTTGATATCCTTTACATTCTATTTCTGTTGTTAGTGAGAATCTCAAAGATTTCATGTTCGTGATTCGAACACGTGGTTTAATCATCTGATTGTCAGGCAAAGGATATTACCGCTCAGCTACTAAATGGTTCAATCTTTTGATGACCTCATAGGCTTCTATTGTTGTTGTAGTTGTCTCGGGCAGGATTGCACTGACCTGTAGATCATTATACAACATCTTGGGGAAAATCAACAATAACATGAATGATAATTGACCTGAATCTGATAATTCCGATAGTAAAATAAACTCTCTTATTCGAGGTTTGTTAATTCTAATGATTTCTCCAACATGCATCTGCGAAAATGTACGAATCCACAGAAGTAACATTTTCAAAAATATATTGTGTCCGATTTAGTAACATTTGATAAACTTAAACACCTGTACAATGAGGAGGCGCACATATCATGGGCGGGTCGAGATAGAGAGGGGAGAGAGAGGGGAGGGGTGGGGGTGGGGAGCACTTCTCTGAGGAGCATTTTCCCCTTAGCTTTGGATTTCATTATTTATGTTCCAAAGTCCCGGACCGCCCTTGCATGTACATATCATTCTTTTGGAAGGGAGTGGAAATTGTAAAAACTGTAAAGAGACATAAACAGGGAAGAGAGACAGGTGGGCGGAGGTTCACTTCCCGTGACTTTGCATTAAAGTTGTCATTAAAGTGACAAGTCACGCCTTCTGTGCGAGCACTATAACCCTGTAAAGGGAAGGGCGATAACTCAGCGTTGAACGGTGGCGGAGATTACAACTATGCATAAATGTGTGCAGGATCAGTGCAGTAATTGTATCCTCTACCTGAATAACTGCTTTGTTTGAATGACCGACAAGGCGGATATGCAACCCATTTTCTTTTGAAAATACAGGTGTCGAGTCACTTCACGTAGATTATTTCTAAATACGAGTACTCGCATGCATGTAGTTCATAGATAAGGGTTAAAGGGAGGTCACATTAGTAGTGTCAGGAAGTACAGGTACATATACGGGTATAGTCCTGTAATCACAGGACATAGTCTCACTACTCACGTCTCCACCAACGACCTTGTTACTGGGAGAGGCTCGAAGCATTGAAGACGGTATACCGTTCCATGGACAGCTTACAATGGGATAGATCCCAGGAGGTGCTCCACAACACTGCCCTCTACACCGATAGACGACACACAGACAACGGCAGATCTTCACGCAGAACCCTACTTCAAAGATGCCTCAATCGGCTGGATAATCCGAGTATATCGACCTTGAAATCGCAATGGCCGCCGCCCTATCAGGTGTCACACGTCTCTGATCGGGTGTGCCCGAGCACTCTATAACAGGGTGGTGTTATTGTACTGCTCACAATGCAAGACTTTTCTCGAACGCTCTCGTTTCAAGTTATCGTCGAACCCAAACAAGTGTCAACTGGAAGACCTCTTACTACATTCACAACAGACGACACTGTACCCGGATAGACCGTATTGGTTATATGAGTTGTTTATATTTGTCGGCTTTTAATATAAGCCTCCTTCCATTCATTTGATAAAGATCTATCGTTTTTTGGAGCAACATTCTACCTCCAGGTAGAACGCATGTTTATCACATCGCTTGAGGCTACACTGCTGTTTATATAATGACAATGTACATTAGTTAGATCACGCTGACTTGCAACTCAACTATATTCGATCGAGTGTGTCGGGGTAGATCTCAGAGGACGACAATGTGACAGTGAGGTCTACCGGGTAGGATGTATTTCCTGTTTGCAAGGTAACCTGTAGCAGGTGTGTTTGGGGTGAAATAGACAGACATTATTTCTGTTTTTGTCGGTCTGAGTTTCCGGTATATGTATCGGTTACATTCAGAGTTTATGACACTGATATGCATGATAGTTGACAAATGTTAGAAATTTATTAAATCATTGTGGTTTTAGTGATGTATTTTTGTCACAAAAGATTACCTGCCCAAAGTCATTTTATAATGCTTTATCGCAAAGATTAAAAGATATGTACATTCAGACCTGGAATTCATCTTTAATACAGTCGCCCAAATCCACTTTTTACAGTACTTTTAAATCTTTTTTCCATACAGAGCAATACCTCCACGATATTAATCTTAGAAAATTCCACGTTTCATTATCCAGATTTAGATGCTCTTCACATGATCTTATGATCGAGAAGGGCAGATATTATAATATTCCAAGAGAAAACAGATTGTGCAAATTTGGGAACTAAATGTAATTGAAGATGAGTTCCACTTTTTGCTGGTATGTCCTTACTATGCTGATTTAAGGACAAAATATCTACCACAACATTACTATTCACATCCTACCATGTTTAACTTTAATTTGATAATGAACTCTAATAATACAACTTATATTCGTAAACTTGGTATGTATATCCACCATGCTTTTGAACATAGAAAATAACGTTTGCAAACATTGTGATTGTATGCCATTATTGTTGTCATACTTTGTACTATAGGCCTGTGGCCTCTTCCGTAATGGAATAATGAGAGTTGATAGTTGTCAGTATTGCGACATATTGGGCCTTAACCCTAGAGGGCCGGTTGGGTAGCCTAGTGGTTAAAGCATCTGCTCGTCGTCATGCTGACAAGCCGGGTTCGATTCCCCACATGCATGGGTACAATGTGTGAAGCCCATCGCCAGTGTCCACACTGTGATATTTCTTGAATATTGCTAAAAAGCAGCGGAGCCATACTCACTCACTCTTAACTCTAGCTTTACAACGTTAAAGGTTGAATTACGGTTCTCATGCTCATAACTGTCCTCCCGTGAAGGTCCGGGTTAGAATTGATCTTCAGTAACCCATGCTTGTCGTAAGAGGCGACTAACGGGATCGGGTGGTCAGGCTCGCTGACTTGGTTGACACATGTCATCGGTTCCCAATTGCACAGATCGATGCTCATGCTGTTAATCACTGGATTGTCTGGTCCAGACGCGATTATTTACACAGCCGCCGTATAGCTGGAATATTGCTGAGTGCGGCGTAAAACTAAACTAAACTCACTCACTCACTCACTCATCACTGTCCAATCCGACAGCCTAATTCTCCAAACTCACAAAGGTCCTTATTCTCCATTAAAATTGATCTGACCCCGTCGGCTCTTCTGATTAGACAAAATTTCCCAGCAACATTAACTTGTCTTTATAGAGCCACTAATGGGACTGGGACATTGTACCGGACAGCTTGGAACAGTTCTCATTTTATCAATCACTGGTTCGTTCGACTCAGTTCCGATTATAGCTGGAATATTGCTGAGAGCGACGTAAAACAACACACAATGGCCTACCTGCAAGAACACGTCAGTCAAGAAAGGAATTTATTATCTAAATAAGAACAAAAGTGGTCATGTCTGTATATGTGGCGGTGATCTCAGGTCAATCCATTGATTCAGAATGTCGGCTATGATTTCATGCAGTGACCACAGACCATCGTTCTGTATCAGTTTAACCTCACGTGTGTCAGAAATCCTGTTTCTCTTTACACAATGCCAGACGCCGTATAGTAAAATCGCAGAACATACACAGGAACCTGATATTATTATCTACCTTGCCCTTGGATTATTATTTAACAGATCCCAATACATGATATCTCCCAAATCTTTATTACTATTAAGTCATATCCACTGGTAGGGAACTTGCATGGTTACAGTGAGAGTGGAGTCTTTGCGATTTTTGCGACGGACACAGAGTCTTTGCACTGAATTGAGTTTTGACAAGACGAAATGGTAATTATAGCTTTACTCTCTGGTATTCTAGGTTATAATTTTCCATATCACCGCATAATGTTATCTTTCACAATTGTAATTCATTGGGGCAAGTCAAGATGTTGCATAGATAATGACAATGAAGGAATTTTTCGTTACATCAATTTCGTAATCACAAAGTTTCTGTGACATTAAACCAATTCATGGAAATTGATATATTCGGGGGTTTTCTCTGATAAAACAGCACATGCTTTATGATGAAAGGGGATAAACCCTAATCGGAAGACTTTGTATTATTTTTACACTTGTTTATGAGGTCATTTGTCACAATATACCTATTATTTATCAAAAAGTAATAATTTCGTAACAATTAATGGTTTTTACATAATCATCAGTAGCTTTCTGAACAACATATATTTACCTGTTACTGATGGAAACCTAATGTAAGTAAATGTGAATTCAACTCTCTTGTAATATTGATTTTGTAGGTATACAGGCCATTTATCGTACCTTACCCTTCCTTTGCAGATGTTAAAATCACTAAGACTCTGTGACATATCGCAAAGTTTCCGTCGCAAAAATCACAAAGACTCCTCTCTCACTGTAACCAAGTTCCCTACCAGTGATATCGACCATTCTAAGATGCCTAGCGGTTAGAACAATCGAAAAAAATAAACATTATCAGACAATGAAGGTATAGTTTTTTGATAACGTAACAACTGAATGACGTTACCCCGTCACTGCGCCATTCTAGTGTGCCCCCTCGTAATCGAACCATTTTACATTACGTCACAATGTAAGCGACCTCACGATGCATGTCAGTTGTCATCGCTTCGTACGGCCTACTACAGTAAACTACACCGTTGCATCCCGTTTCTTGGTTTGCAGTTGCTTCACTTACCTAACATCACTGGTGGAAACATTACGTTTATGTTTTACGACGTTTTAAATGTCTCAATTCGACTCACAAGTTTTCAGCGACACGGTAACGTTCGCAATGTTTACATTCCCACAATGCAATCGTGGAATGTCGCTAGACTACTCAGCTTCGTCTGGATGTACTGATCTAAACATACGTCGGTAGTAGAAATGCGACGTTCACATGGTTTACGTTAATCACAGATGAAATTAAAATAATTCAGAGAAGATATTTAATCCGAACGTAAACCGTTATCAAACTGTTTATCATTTGTTTTTCTGGTAACGTTCGTCTTAACGTAGGGGGGCAGACACATCAATAGAACAGCGCGCCAGTTAGCCCTGTGCGAGGATTCTTACTTTAGGTCACCGACACCGTCGTTTGTTTTCTGCCTTAAATTAATCGTAATTATCCTTAGAAAGTATTAAATTTGGCATCTTATAAATACACCACTTTATAGTGTAATAAACGATGCACGCCCTGAACTATTAAAACGTTAAAGCATTCGGAAGCAAGCGTCCTCGTACTTTAACTATAATAGTTCAGGGCGAAAGTGTGTTTTATTACACTAAACATGGTGGTAGAGCGAACTGTATTTCTTAAATAGCAGTCGACGCGCCTTTTTGAAACCATCCGGACACAAATGCCCGACATGTGATCCGCACACAAGGGCGTGTCGATTTTAAGATGCGATATACTTTAGAAACAACGACACAATGCTCGCGGGACTATAAAGAGTGTCAGACCCTGTGTAAATATAAATTGGGTAGCGCATTTGTGACACTCGTGATGGTATTTGTATGTGGAAATCTTTAAGCAACGACACAAGGGCCCGTGGCTGTGACTGGCGGGTAACTGGCCCGGCTTGCTGCAGATCTACAGCCCTGCTGTTCCCCACGTGTGATGGCTGGGTTCAATGCAGGACCTCCAGACGCTGCATACTCTCCTTGATTCGCCAAACAAATGCATGAAATCCAACTTTTATGCAAACACATTTCACTAACACACCATGTACACACGTAGCTAACGTTCTGGCAGGAGTGGGTGGTGTTTTTGTGACGTCACTTCCGGTGTGTTATTTCTTCATGCTGACCATTTTCATGTAGTCGTTCATCCGGGTAAACTGTCGGTATTCGCAGTTAACGACGTCGTCGTACCGTCGAAGCTGCAACAGGAATGATGACGACTAGTGTTGTGTTGGGGTAAGACCAAATATCGTTTATGATACTGTGTTTTCATGTATACAGCATTCTTGCCGTCCAATTACACAGCCGCTACTACCTTTCAAAATAACATGATTCCTTTTCAGTCACCCACCCCGAACCTATGGCATAAACCCACCCCCACACATACCGAACCAAGGTAATAACCAATATTTATTTATAACAGCATAACTCCCGCCAAATAACACAACCCACCCACACAGAATCCCAATTTTAACATATTAAACGCCGCATGACCCACGTCAAACAATTCAAACAATTCCGTGCTTAGTCTGTAAGGGACCGACCATTAAATATTCAAGTGCCATGGATGGCTTGCGTTAGGTGGGTTCGAGAATTTTAATACGTGACTTAATATGTTTTGGGTTTTAATAACATTCAAGAATAAGTTGAACTAAAATATTCACAGCCAAGCCACCCGAATCATAGAATGGTTCCTGCCTAATCGCAGGACCGGATCTTACTGAATCACACCATTCCTACTCTAGAAGCAAGTCCGTGGAGATCCAGTATGGATCTCCATGCTTGTCGTAAGTGAAGATCCGGGTTAGAATTGCTGTTCAGTAACCCATGCTTGACGTAAGAGGCGACTAACGGGATCGGGTGGTTAGGCTCGCTGACTTGGTTGACACATGTCATCGAATCCCAGTTGCGTAGATCGATGCTCGTGCTGATGATGACTGGATTGTCAGGTCCAGACCGCCACCGTATAGCTGTAATATTGCTGAGTACGGCGCTAAACAAACCATCAAAACAACAAAATACTTAGCACAGCACAATTCATTCGCCATCACTGGCACCACCAGCCTGTTCTGTTCACATACCTGTACTGCTTCAGTCTTGAACTTGAGGTCCATGCCTGCCACCCTGTTCCTGAACCACTCGGAGGTGAAGGTAATGACCCACCGATCCTCGATAGGGTCACCCCCCTTGGGTCGTTTGATGAAGATGGCCCGGGGATAAACTGTAAGGACCTGACCTTCACCTCTGGGTGTTGTGACAGGATATCCTTCTTGAAGGCAGCCCATACTTCATGGTGGGTCAGCGTGGAGCCGACGATGCTGAAGCAAACGGCGTTAGGGTTCGGCTCCGGGGGTTTGCTTTGGAGTGGTGGGGCGCGGGCCTTCCGCGCCTTTCGGAGCATTGGGTCCTTCTTCATGTCCATCAGCGAAGGGAGGCCACTCAGATCGACAGTAGGTGCCTGAGGAGCTTCTTCCCTGAAAAATAATGATAATAATATATATACAAATAGAGCAATGTCGCTCGTTTCTTAGGGGCGGTGGGGTAGCGTAGTGGTTAAAGCGTTCGCTCGTCACGCCGAAGGTCCGGGTTCGATTCCCCACATGGGTACAATGTGTGAAGCCCATTACTGGTGTCGCCCGCCGTGATATGTCTGCAATATTGCTAAAAGCGGCGTAAAACCTAATTCACTCACTACCTCCAATGGTTTTAAAACCGAAAAAACGATTATGCCCACAGTGTTAAATAGTAGGATTTAATGTTATTGAAAACGAATATGATTTTCTTATCTGTAATTCTTATTCAACTTTAAGACTTAATTTTATCGATAAAAATGTTTACATTAATCCATCAAAGGAAAAGTTTGTATATCTAATGTCTTCTAAATGTAAACATACTATTACCCAACTGTCGAAATATCTATTTCATGCTTTTAACTACGAGAGTTACTCAAAAATGTTTGATTATATTTCTTTGTGTTATACACTATTCATTGTATTTTTGTGTAATGAGTACTATGGGCCTGTGGCCTGAAACGTGAATAAATTCTTCTTCTTCATAATTTTGATAGTAACAAATAAACCCATTTAATTGAAAAGGAGCCCCAGTGAATTAGGAGATTAGTCCCTGAATATATATAATTTTGATAGTAACAAATAAACCCATTTAAATTGAAAAGGAGCCACAGTGAATAAGGAGATTAGTCCCTGAATATATATAATTTTGATAGTAACAAATAAACCCAATTAATTGAAAAGGAGCCCCAGTGAATTTGGAGATTAGCCCCTGAATATATATAATTTTGATAGTAACAAATAAACCCATTTAATTGAAAAGGAGCCACAGTGAATTAGGAGATTAGTCCCTGAATATATATAATTTTGATAGTAACAAATAAACCCATTTAATTGAAAAGGAGCCACAGTGAATTAGGAGATTAGTCCCTGAATATATATAATTTTGATAGTAACAAATAAACCCATTTAAATTGAAAAGGAGCCACAGTGAATTAGGAGATTAGTCCCTGAATATATATAATTTTGATAGTAACAAATAAACCCATTTAAATTGAAAAGGAGCCACAGTGAATTAGGAGATTAGTCCCTGAATATATATAATTTTGATAGTAACAAATAAACCCATTTAAATTGAAAAGGAGCCACAGTGAATTAGGAGATTAGTCCCTGAATATATATAATTTTGATAGTAACAAATAAACCCATTTAATTGAAAAGGAGCCCCAGTGAATTAGGAGATTAGTCCCTGAATATATATAATTTTGATAGTAACAAATAAACCCATTTAAATTGAAAAGGAGCCCCAGTGAATTAGGAGATTAGTCCCTGAATATATATAATTTTGATAGTAACAAATAAACCCATTTAAATTGAAAAGGAGCCCCAGTGAATTAGGAGATTAGTCCCTGAATATATATAATTTTGATAGTAACAAATAAACCCATTTAAATTGAAAAGGAGCCCCAGTGAATTAGGAGATTAGTCCCTGAATATATATAATTTTGATAGGAACAAATAAACCCATTTATATTGAAAAGGAGCCCCAGTGAATTAGGAGATTAGTCCCTGAATATATATAATTTTGATAGGAACAAATAAACCCATTTATATTGAAAAGGAGCCCCAGTGAATTAGGAGATTAGTCCCTGAATATATATAATTTTGATAGGAACAAATAAACCCATTTATATTGAAAAGGAGCCAGAGTGAGTTGGGAGATCCTGAACCTGGGGAAATCTAGACTTGCTTTATTTAGGGCTTTAGCACTGCGGAGAGGTCAAGGCAGTAGGGAACATAATGTGATTCAGGGTCTGTGAGACAGACAAGTTGACAGGCTGTGAAAAACTGAAATATTGTTCAAGGTGGCGTCACATCAGCATAAACATCTGAGGAAGCTATGGAACGTTAGTCGCGGAGAGGTCTTATATGGGAGAGCATGTTCACTGGCCACTGAGAGAGTTTCTAGGGACGGCCCTGTTCCACGTTGTTCCACATACAATGCAAATGGTGTCTCTCTAGGCAATTGAATTTGTTCGAAATATGCCTCTGTTCAGCCAGATGGGATCCAGGTAGAATGAGATGACAGTATGACTCAATCTTCCAGCACACCAAAGGCACTGGGACTGAGAATGAACGGGGCAAAAAAGGGCTTCGAACGTATTATTCTGCGTGGAAAAAGAACATAGAAATGGACTGTTATCATTATTATATACCAAACGATGAATTCGCTTTGCAAAGTGGCTAGAAACCTGTACTCACTCACTCACTCACTGTCTTGACATCCTTTTCAATGAAACGAGGCTTTGGGAGCTTGTGAAATTGGCAAGGTATTTCGCGACAATATGTTTAAGTCTGTTTTTCAAGTCTTATTTGAATCCCATTTAATTGATCCTGGACATGTCTGATTCACAATACATTGATGCATCGACAAAATTCTCAAATGATACAAGACTAACGGGATCGGGTGGTCAGGCTCGTTGACTTGGTTGACACATGTCATCGGTTCCCAGTTGCGCAGATCGATACTCACGCTGTTGATCACTGGATTGTCTGGTCCAGACTCGATTATTTACAGACCGCCACCATATAGCTGGAATATTGCTGAGTGCGGCGTAAAACTAAACTCACTCACTCATTCAGATGATACAATACGCGATACACATGTACCTGTATCGACTGATATTTTAGTCCGTTTAGTCTCGTTTCATAGACCTCTTCAGTCATTATATTTTTCATCAAAATTGCCAGTAATTAAGTATCACGATACAGGTATGGTGTCGGTAGATCTCCGTATCATAACATTCCTGCCGAATACATCACACTTCCAACAACCCTTAACCCTTAACCCACAGACTTGGCTCTTCACGGCTACATGTATGCGCATTTATTATTCGAGTTCGATCCCTGACTATTTCTGTTCTGCTGAATTTCAAAATTTTGCGCATGGCTGAGGTAGATTGAACTCAGAACAACTCAGTGCCAAGACGGGTCAAAAATATTTTGAAATAGATATATGCAAAACATCCAAAGCTGTAAAATCTACTACACCTAAACCGTCCCAAGGAAGACTTCACTATGTGGGTTCTTCTGTCCTCTCTTTGTCCGTTGCCAGTCTGTCCGTCTAACCGACCTGAGGCCAATGAAGCTATAATTTCGTAATGATCATCGTATCAGTGATATCCGGACACAACATGGCTGCCATTGGTAGACACGTTGCTTTTGGCATTGTTTCCCAAAAACTAAACCATGTGTGCATGAATCACTACGAAATGTTCATGCCTTAACTCCATCGAACTTATTCCAGTCTCACATAAACACATGCATACTGCGTAATATCTCAGTAACTAAATATTTTTAAAACAACAGTGTTGCACTAAATCACATTTGGGACCATCACATTTATGCGCGCTGAAAACTTACTTCTTTCTCTTTGGTTTGATTGGTCGTCGCCAGCCCAGTTCGTATAAACGCGCGCGCAGCTCATCAGTACATGCCACCGGAAGGAACAGTTTGGGGCCTTTCATCGGGAAAGCGTGTGGTTGTACTTGTCCCTCTGGGTCGGCCATGCCATCCCCGGTGTCAGCCACGCCGTGCACTGCGTCGGACGCCAGGCTCACAAGATCTGTTGCCGCAGCTGCTGACGCAACGTCAGTGTCAACAATATGAAGCAGCGGTTGTGAATGTGGGAGGCCCGACTGGAATCTATCCTGGGGGTCACACACCTTTACGTTACTGTCAAATCTGACCACAGGTCGCTGGAACATGGCCACGGCACGTGCGTCGTCGAGGACGTTGATGTTAACTCGTCTTAACAAGGAAAAACCTGCATTGTTTACCTGAACGCCGTCGTCTGAGACGACGGCAACTGTTGTATCAACGTTCAAACCTCCCTTCCTGTTTCGCGAATCTGACTCCGGAAGTCTGTATGAATCCCGGTCATGCGCAGTATGAATAGTATCGTAAGTATTGCGCGGAGAGAGAGCGCCTTCAACGGAGTCCATACACTGTTTCTGGAAGGTTGTCATCTCACGATGTCGGTCCAACCTCCTACTGCTCCGGGCAACGACTGTCGAAATCCGGGTGGAGATAGGGTATCGACGGTGACCCAAAAATGCAGATCCCGTCCGTTTTGGTATGTCTGGGTCGGGTGCAAGCAAGCCTGGGTCGCCAGCTGAATGGCAAACAGTTGCACGTGCATTATAGGACGCGTGGGTGCTTTTCTGCCTCTCCCGTGGGTCGTGGCTGGGCGCTCTGAAGACCGGGCGAGGGTGGGTGTGAGATGCCCTGTGGTCCGGGGCTGACTAGCCGTGACGGAAGCGTTGTTGGTGGCGATTGCAGGGTCAGCGGTTACCTCGGGTGTGGTCGTTTCATCATTGTCCCCCTCTGGTGTGTTGTCGCTCAGGACATAGGGGTTGTAGGACCTCCGGGAAACCAGGTTGCTGAGAATCAAACACTGACTAGCTGTCGGCATGTTGGACAACAGTCTACACACATCTAGATCTGATATTCCAGTGATAGCGGTCAGCTGTACAAATCAGGGGCAACACTACCATACCCCAACAGTAACTCAGATTTAGAACATGCCGTGATTCCGATGTAACATCCCTCCCCAGTGTTTAAGCATAAATGAATGACACTTACACATGGTGCCTAAATACCAACACCATTGCCTGACTGCAATTAATTATTGTTGGGGCCAGATTGGTTTAAGGGAGGTTAGAAGTGCCCAATGAATGATTCACCACGCCGCGTGTGGAAAATACATCTCTATTCGGCGGCGGGGATGGGCTGCGCATATTACTCCATCAATTATACATTGGATAATATAAGTACCTTACCTTAATGGCTAAATACGACAGGAAAACAGGTAAAAAATTGCCTGTGGTCCGTCTCCCCAAAACAAGCAATATGGCGATGTCCGATCCCGTGACGACTGCATCCTGATTGGTTGACTCATTAAAGAGGCTAGGTAATTGGCTGTTGCGTTTGTGCATGTGACGGTTTTCCCTGCAACGTCTGTTGCGTGACGTTGGGTTCTTGACGTAAATTATTTATTTCACGTTGGCACCTGGTATTGATTATAGTGGCGTGAAACGTGTCTGCCCCGACCGTATGCAGGGCAGGGGAGGGTCCAACTGCCCGGGGTATTGCGTAATTACACGTGTTGAAAACACACACGCGCTGATCAGACAATTGGAAAAGGGAGTTTCCATGTCTTTGAGTCTAGCTTTTGCATAGTCTTTGTCATAAGTTGAATACAATCAACTACTGGTCGAAGAAAACTAAAGTCAATACGTTGGACACAAAGAACATGCCTCGACTCACGGCAGAACAGAGAGACGAGCTATTGGGATGTTGCAGCTGGGTGCTTCTCACAGTCACGTTGCAAGAATCATGGAGTTGCAGCAAGAAAACCATCACCAGACTGATGACACGCTTCAGAACAACAGGTCGGACTGCAGACAGGCCTAGGACAGGAGACCACCCGTAACCACCCCTCAGGAAGACCGCCATTTACGGGTGCTTCACTTGCGCAACAGATTCCTGACTGTGACGTCATCAGCAACAACCAGCCTTACCCATCCAGTCAGTAGAAGGACCATATCCAGACGACTCAGAATCAATCAGCCGATTCGGTGATCAATGGAAACATCGACGTCCGATACAGACCATTCCGGGGCGTGACGTTAACGCGTGAACATCGACGTCGTCGATTGGCAAAATACTCCAGTGGGCAAGCGTAGAGTTCGGCAGTGGAGATTTGAAGTTGTTCAGCCGCGGAACTGGCGCCGGGTACTCTTCAGTGACGAGAGCCGCTTCCAGTTGAACAAAGCTGATGGTCGGGTAGGAGTCTACAGACGTCGGAACGAACGCACACCACGTTGTTGCGTTCAGGAAGTTGAGACGTTTGGCGGCGGTAGTGTGATGGTGTGGGGGGGAAATTGTGGCGAGAGGAAGACTGACTTGTTGGTGATAGAGGGAAACCTGAATGCCCGTCGATACATTGATGTTGTTTTACGACCTGTCGTGTTACCCTTCCTCCAGCAGAATCGAGGCGTGTTGTTTCAGCAGGATAACGCTACTCCCCACACTGCTGTTGTTACCCGGAACTTCCTGAACAACAACAACGTAAACGTCATTCCTTGGCCAGCAAGATCCCCGATTTATCACCTATTGAGCACCTATGGGATCATCTCGGCCGTCAGGTGAAGCAACGTCAACATCCCCCACAGACAAGAAACGCTTTGGCTCAAGCTCTACAGGAAGAATGGCGTCGCATCCCACATCACGTGATCAGACGTCTTGTGCACTCTGCACGACGTCGTGTGTGGCAGCATGTATCGCTGGAGGTGGACACACTCGCTACTGAGGAGTTGGACACTCAAAGCCACTCTGTCAGTACTGATGTGCATGTGTTGTCATGATCGAAAACCGGACATTTGAACCTCCTGTGAAAAACGTCACAAAAACTCTACTTACAGCAAATTGTTTCAATTGTTCTGTAATGACAGTCTGCATAATATGTTCAAAAATTATATCAAACATTTTAACATTGAATTGCACGTGTTTGTATCATTTTATGATACAAAAATGATCGGGGACGTTTCTTTTGCCCCTCAGTTTATTACGTTATGTACCATAAGATCACATCCCTATACACTTCGCGATGTATTTGTTTCTTTGTTGTATAACGCCGCACTCAGCAATATCCCAGCAATATGGCGGCTGTCTGTAAATACTCGAGTCTGGACCAGACAATCCAGTGATCAACAGCATGAACATCGTTCTACACAATTGGGATACGAATACATGCGTCAACCAAGTCAGCGAGCCTGACCACCCGATCTCGTTAGTTGCCTCTTACGACAAGCATGGCTTACTGAAGACCAATTCTAACCTGGATCTTAGAGTGGTTTCTACCCCATGCACACATGCATTTGTGTTTACAAGGGACGTCTAGCCTGTATACTGGTGACAATAATCTACATACACTATTTCAGTGCCTATGTATGCACATGTGTTTAGATTATACCAACCCCTTGCACTAAGAAACCCAACTATAACAAGAAGTTTGTTAGCGTATGTCTACGCAGCCAAAGCAAAAGCGTCGACGATGGCACGAGGGGGTTGGAGAAGAGTGTAGGTGTGAACGATACAAAGACAGTCTGAAAACACACACCGAGTTTCAGTATTCCGTTTAAGTATTGGTTCTGTTGTCACCACAGTTAATTGAATCATCAACTTATACCAGTAACACGTTTATATAAATTTGCCAAAGGCGTTAAAAGTAGGGGTATACAAATCCCAAATATTCTGTCTATATGTCTAGACACAGTATATAAAGCCAGCCACACCTCTCAATACACGCAGCTAGGGAATAAAAACACTATCAAACATATACACAAGACGCGACAAGCCCAGCACACGTCGCAGTGTGGAGTGAGTCAACAATATCTTCTTTGCATGATCAGAATCGCCTGCTGGTTTAGTGGTACCTGTCGTAGACGGGTGTTAGCATGGCATAACTTCAGGGACGTCTGCAACTACTACCAGCACCAACGACATCGGAAACACTGTTGGCATACTACGGCGGTATTGGCGTTAAACGTGGAAGAAGCGTCACTTTGGATGTACCTATTCCTGGTAGCAGCACTTTAACAAAGGTAAATTGGTAAAACAATACAGGGCGAGTCTGCGTAAGGCTTATATGGATGCATTGTTCTGTATATATATATTCTGTCATATATATTTGCATCCTTATGCAACCATTGGCGGTGTGGTAGCCTGGTAGTTAAAACGGGTTCAATGTGTGAAGCCTATTTCTGATGTCCACGTCGTAACATTAGGGGTATGTTTCTGAAAGTAAACAATACAGAACACCACACAAGAATTACGTCCCTTGAACAGATGACGTCAGTTTCTGCATTCCCCCTGTGCCTGCTGGGTAAAATACTGTTTTATCATTTCGGTTTTATATTGGAGGTTATGTGAATTAAGACAGCGTTGTCTGTCACGAAAGTGAGTAGTTACGCCGCTTTTAGCAATATTCCAGCAATATCACGGCGGGGAACACCAGAAATGGGTTTCATACATTGCGCCCATGTGGAGAATCCAACCCAGATCTCCGGCGTGACGAGCGATCGCTTTAACCACTAGGCTACCCCATCGCCCCTTCACGAAAGTAATGATGTGACGTCGTCTGTGATCGTGCATCCTCTGGTATTAAGGGCATTATATCCTCACTCATTATATTGAGTCTATTTGATACTGAACTTCATCCGACATTGGAAGCACAGTACCACAAGCTCCAAAAGGCCCGTATGAGCACACTGAGATTTAACCGTTCAAAACTTAATTACAGGATGCGACTTGGTCTGACAGTTGGCCTATATGTTACCAAATACGTTACTATGTATGATATGGTCGTTATGGATTCTCGCCTTTTCATCATCTATTTATCCTACATATGTGTGAATACTGTGCCACTTTCGCTTCTTGTTTTCCTGAATTGGGTACCGATACAACATGAACTGTCGGGGAAAAGATAGACCAATGATCGGTGGTGACTGAGAATTAAACGAATGGTTATACAAAAGCTTATTTGATGCTGGTATTATAGTTTTGTTTGGGGCCTGCATTTTTTAAATTAAGTAACGTTTTGATAACATTTTATTTTGGGTGTCAAATCTCATTTTAAGCGTAAACTATTAAAAGCATTGAGACTACTTAGGGTTTGGCCATTTGATGGCTGTGGGATTTGTTTATATTTGGTTCCTCCTCCAATCTAAAGCGCATGTATGTTTTGAAGCAGTAGCACAAACATTCCCCAAACCACGTATTTTCACCAAGAGCAATAAATGCTTTTATTGAGATTGTGACTTGTACTGGCTAGAGTATACACAGTGGAGGGGTCAGGTGGTGTTGTGGGTGGAGCTGTAGGACAAACACAACACATGTAACTCTTGTCCGAGGCGGTTTGTACAATCAGATAATCAGGCGTCACGGGTCGCCCACAGCAAACAAGTCCTCGCTGATGACAGGGTTCAGCAAAAAGTGGGAATCAATAACACAGATGAATACATTATCCCTTCTGTGCTTAATGTGGTGTTAATGTCTGACCCTCATTATAAAGCGATCACGCCGTGAGTCGCCTCCCAGTGAGAGACCCATTAAGGGGTTATGTAGGACTTCTATGGAATCCATGGTGACTGCGAGTTATTGCTCTCGAACTCTGTACCTGAAGGACAACCACCATAAACTTTACTGCAGTTAGAGTGCTAGCAAAATGTACACAAGTTGTCCTAACTTTTAACATCGGACTCACTTCAGGTGAGAGCGGCTATAAGGTGAGAGTGTGCTTTGGATAAAAGGCTGATTGAAATGTTACCTGCCGTTTAATGACAGGTAACCAGGTGTTGTGTAGGTATAGGTGTTTGGTTTGTTTGATGTTTCATTTTATCGGAACTTGTACACAAGAGCAATCAAGGGGAGTATGTGAAGAATTGTGATGTTAACCGTTAAAACCCATCTACAGGATGTGAGTTGGATGAACAGTCGGCCTCTACGTCACCTGCTGCGTAATTACAGGTGAGCAGATCCAGCCAGGTGTCAGGTGTGTTGACGTTTGTTTACAATTTATTTCAGTGAAGCAAACTGATGGTTCGAAACGATATACTACTAATGCATGTATTGCGACAGACATTGAAATGGTGCAATCTGAAGTGCTGAATTTATTCGTGGCGGGTTGCAATATTCGTGTTCCCGCGGACGGTCCACATCAGTTGCAACGACACGCAAACAGACAGGAGGACATTGATGATTATAGTTTGACACGAGACTCTTCACCTTTCACGTTGTAGACATGGCTAAGTAGACATGAGAAAATGCTTATGATAGAAAGTCAGACAAACTATTATTTGATATAAGACCTACGACCATAAATATATTCAAAGCAAATGTTTTATATGACATTGCTTACATTAACGATTCCTGGTGTTAAACAGTTCGTTTACCTGGTGTAAATATCAGGCAGTGGTTCAAATCAGACCATGTTATTGTTCTCTGTGACTGAACGGCTTGTTATAGTGGGTTAGTTTCTACTTATAATAACATTCAAAGGTTGTGAAAAGGTCCAACTGTCTTCAGGGTTGTTAGGTGTATCATAAATTGATTTCTAATCATTGACCGTGTTAGGTAAATATGGTGCGGATTCCTTTGGGTACTCTGTGGTAATGAATTATCTGCAGCTATGGTGATGATTTGGAATTGGTCCTTAGCAATCTATATTGATCTTGAGGCGCGACTAAATGGATCGGGTGTCGATCACTGGATTGTCTGGCCTCGATTATAGAGACCAATTATAGAGACCGACATCACATTGCTGGGATATTGCTATTTGTCGTTACACAACAACCACCGTCAAATATGGCTATTTGAAAATAAATGAATTGTAATTTATTGCATGGCTAACCTAGGAAATGTTTTGTGTTTGTGTTTTTAAACCGACAAATATACGCCGCAGTCACTCAGGTCTCCTTCCTTTCTGACAACAGTATGGGCGAGGCTTTCGTGTTGGTATCAGCAGGTTTACAAATCAATACAAATTACTTCATTTATAATGGCAGTACGTTTTCGAGGACAGGGCAATTACATTTGCAGGATAAGATATGAAATCAGTGGCGATGACAATAAAGTCAGTGATGATAATATTTACCAGCCGTAACACTAGTCAGGCGTCAAAAAACAAGCCTAGGCTGGATAATAAAGACGACTTTTCACTCCCAGTTTAATAAGCATTTATGTTGTTGAAAATGTCTCATTTTGTTCATTACACAACCTGTCCCTCAACGGGACGATTCCAAGCGATTTCCAGGAAAAGGGCCCCTTCGCGCCTTGTGTTCTTGCGCGCCAAACAGTTCGGTTTTAAAACGCTTATCAGTCGTGATGGAATGAAGATAAAGCTACTCTGTTTTCAATTTTGCGGTCCTTTATCTTCTAATTTAAGACCGCTAAATGTTTAATTTAACACCTCACGCTTACGCGTTCGGTTTATAAATTACATTTAGCGGTTTTAAATCAACGATAAAGGACCGCAATATTGAAAACAGAGTAGCTTTATCTTCTAAGTGCATCATAAGCGGATGGAATGAAGTATCCTTGGTCTCGGTTGATGGTGGGCTTTTGACGTTTGATGTGGATGGCTTCGGTGAACTTGCGTTTAGTGAAGTCTGTTTGTTTGTTAGCGAGAATGGTGATGTCAGACCACTCTATTTGATGATTGGGGCTTGCTTTGATGTGGTCGGAAATGGCTGATTTACTGTCGGAATTGGTAACAGAGGTCTTTCTGGTTACCTCCTGCATCCAACTCCAGACCACTGCATATATACAACCTACCCATACGGATCAGTACATCCACTACAACTCCAATCATCCACCTAAAGTTAAGACCGGCATCATCTCCACATTAACCAGAAGGGCCAAGAACATCTGTTCAACTAAACTACAAGATGAAATCGAACATCTCAAGAAAGTCTTCGTAGAACTTAACCACTTTCCATCCCAAATAGTCAACAGAACCATTGCTGCAACCCTGTCACCTCCTACCAAAAGACCCAAACCAGATTCAGCCCCCATCAAGATATCCATCCTCTACATTGGCAAACCGTCACATCAAATCAGCCGTCTCCTAAAACAACAAGCTGGCATAGATACCACCTTCTCCGCGTCCTCCATCCTTAACGACATTCTCCATGCCAATGGAAGAAAACCAGCCACCGTCAAGAACAACAACCCAAAATGTGTCATCCACAAAATAAACTGTGATTGTGGGCAGAGCTACATAGGCGAAACTTCCCGACCCATCAACACCCGAGTGAAAGAACATCAGACCTCTGTTACCAATTCCGACAGCAAATCAGCCTTTTCCGACCACATCAAAGCAAGCCCCAATCATCAAATAGAGTGGTCTGACATCACCATTCCGCTAACAAACAAACAGACTTCACTAAACGCAAGTTCACCGAAGCCATCCACATCAAACGCCAAAAGCCCACCATCAACCGAGACCAAGGATACTTCATTCCAACCGCTTATGATGCACTTATCCACCAAGCCCAATCTACTGTATAAACTCTGCTGTATAAACATCTCATTATTATTTGTACATCATTGGCTTCCACGCCTGTCCTTTGTCTGTCTCTGGCTTCATCAGCTTTCTGCCTAGCCAATTATATTAATTATGTTGTTTTTTTGTTACATTGTTACATCCAGTATATATATACTTCTCCCTTCTACATGTTCCATTAATGCTTGACAACGGTACAAGAATCTGTATCGAAACGTCCCACTCACGAATAAAAAGAAGTTGTTATCCATAACGTTTGTTCTATAAAGATACAATGTACTACAATTACAACCTTGTTCAAAAGTACTTCAGTATGTGTTTGCGTTTAAGGATTCTGTTTAATGTAAAGAGGTGTAAACGTGATGTTTTTTAACGTTTTCTCTCCATTTAACGTAAACAAAATATATATGACTTCTAGAACGATACACGGTGTTTACTATTCGTCACTTAAATATGACGTCACAATAGTAATGCCTCTATGACGTCACACCATTGTCGCAGTAACATATAGTAGAGAGGATCACGGTGTTACGGGTAGCTAGATATGAGGCTGTTGTCGTTCTTAGGCATGTAGTCTACGTGTTTGTTACAGATGCCGACGTCCAGCCAAGCCCTCATCCTCATCAAGACGGACAGTGGGCGGCTGTCGAGCTTCTACAAGACCCGAATCACGCCAGATGTGACCCTACCGCTGTCCCGGGTCAACCTGACTGGAGACCCTGCTGCCCGTGTCCCGTATACCAGCAGACCAAAGGGGATGGTTCACAGTCACAGCGAGCCATTCACGCCAAGCAAACCCCTTGAGGGTGTAACAGTTAACGGTTTCCGTGGGGTGCTGTCCTTCGACCCCATCCTGAAAGCATTCAGGTGGCAGTTGCTTCCCGACCCCACGGATCGTAAGGTGGGTGTTCCTGCACCGTGCAGTAACCAAACGTCTCCGGATCTGGACGAGAGTCATGTGAGGGAAGAGGTAGTGCTTACCAACCTGGACGACCCCCCGTCACCGATTCCCCCATCCCCCGGAGGCTCCATCGACAACTCCTACCGTCGGCTACTCAATCTCGGCTTCCCGACATCGTCATTTCGGGGACTGAACCCATCTCCGAGCCTAGAGCCTTGGGATAGCGGGATGTCGGGGCTCGACCTCAGGAGAGCCGCCTCTCACAGACCGATCACAGGCCGGGGACGCTCCCCAGAGCATCTTGCCGACAGACACATGTCAGCTCCAAGCATGGACGTTCAGTCTCGATTGTCACGGGATGATCGTGATCCAAGGTAGGTTCAGATGATTCTTCAAACGCCCGACACAACAAATATACCGAAAATACAACGGCATGCAAATAATCGAATCAGGGCCAGACAATCCAGTGATTATGAAAGCCACGGCTCACGCCGTCTGCAGCCAAGAACAATACTAATCCATCCATAGATCGACTAAGGTTACCATACACAAGACTTATTGGGGACCAGTTCTAACCGGTTCTATCTCGTATAATATACTGGGAACCACTGACATGACACCGAGTTATCCGTATTTCGAGGTTGGCGGAGTTCCCTTATTACACCTTAGAATATGATTCCTGCAGTCAGAAGAGTAATGTTTCGTTGTTGTGTGGCTGTTACTACGAGTTCTGACAATTGTTTTGTTTTTGTTGACACATGACAATTTGTAAAATCTCTGACAACATTTCAGTGAATTTTCAGCAAAATCGTGAGTAGCAAGAGACAAACACGTGACACAAAGGTGCCAAGCATCCTGCACCATACGTTCCCCACTGATCTACCTAACATTGTCTGACTCAAACAATTGTACGCGTCTTGCCCTTAGACCTAACCACGTCGTCATATGAGCGAAATATTCTCAAGTACGACGTTAAACCCAATTCCACCACCACCACCTTAGACCTAACCTACACTTACATGTTTACAGATTGTGCCTGGCTGTTTGTTTAACGCCACACCCTGCAATATTCCAGCTCCATGATGTAAATAATCTGGACCAGACAATCTAGTGATTAACATCGTGACCATCGATCTACACATTTGGCATAAACTAACATTCTGGGTAACACAGTAATGTTGTGTGATATAACCCACTCCCACTGCGACCGCCTCCGTGGTGTAGTGGTTAGAGCGTCCGCCCGGAGAGCGGAAGGTCGTGGGTTCGATCCCCGACCGCGTCACACCAAAAGACGTTAAAATATGGTACTTGTTGGTTTCTGCCTGGCGCTCGGCATTAATGGGTACAACAAGGACTGGTCGGCTCGGAGTCAGTATAATGTGTCTGAGTGGGGTATTCATGCTTCACTGCGGCATGGTATCTCAGTGGGCTAGCGCTATAAAACCAGCTTCAGTCTGGGCTAGTACAAGCAGCCGCACATACACATACACACGCATGCACGTCGTCATATGAGCGAAATATTCTCAGGCACGACGTTAAACCCAATTTCACCTCACCTCACTCCTACTGCCAGTAAGCTCCTGCAGTTATGGGCTCCAAGTTTCACATCAACACCCCGATCCCCTTCCATAGGTCTCAGTCCTCTCCGCTACCTGTATAATCACAGCGACATGGGAATTGCCTTCCAGGAATGACACTACTGAAATAAATACTACCTAAATGCAATACCACTAACGGACTTGTACATTACCTTAATGTTTAACACAAACGAACTTTTCACTGCTTCCATGAAAAATGCTAACGACATCTGTACTGCCTCAATGCATTAGCTAATGACATATCTACTGCCTCCATGTATAATACTCACGGAATGGAAAGGTAGCCTGGGTTAAAGTGTTCGCTCGTCACACCGATAGTCTGAGTTCGAGTCCTCACATGGGTACAATGTGTGAAGCACATTTCTTTTGTCCCCGCCGAGAATGTTAGTAAAGGCGCCGTAAAACCCAACACACTCACACACACTATAATACGAATGGCCTGTTTGCTGTCTCCATGTAAAATATTTACGGCATATTCACTGTTTCCAGGTGTAATACTTACAGCATGTGTTCTGCCTCCATGTATAATACTAACGGCACATGTACTGCCTCAATGTATAATACTAACGGCACATGTACTGTCTCCATGTATAATACTAACGGCACATGTAATGGCTCCGTGAATAATATAGGAACGACATTTGAACTGCTTCCATATATGATACTAAAGGCACAAGTACTGCCTCCATGTATTATACTCACGACAAGCGTACTGGCTCTATATATAACTAATGGCATGTGTACTCGCTCCGTACAGAACATTATCATCAAAGTATCAGTGACTCCATTTATAACACTAACGGCACGTGTACTCGTCAAAATTCATTAAATAACTTGTTGCCCAAATCTAGTAACGTTGTTCTTCTACACGCTTTCATTATGTTTGATTTCTACAATAAAGCCTAAATTATCTGGAATAGAAACCAATAAACGTACGTAACAGTAAAAGATCAAAATGTAACTGTAAGATGAGACAAAGACTTCCAATGGGGTCCGGACAACAGATACTATCTAAAGCTATCAATGTATAAATGGGTAATGTTTGTAACGCTTTGTAACGCCACCTGTATTGACCTGTATCTAAAGTCAAAAGTCACAATTGATGCTCTCTGATAACATATCGCCCAGTAGTTTCTCACTCCCGCCTGTAGCTCGCTCAACCAACTGACGGACACAAGGACCACAAGACGAAAGATAGCAATTCCATCTGTAGCTTCCAGGTACCAACTGTCATGGAAACCAGACTCCAGCACCACGCCCGAGCACCCCTTTGCGTTGCCTCATCGTCGTTACCACGTGATCTTACCTCCGATTGAGGAAAGGAAGCGTAATTTGTTTGGGTCAAGGTCACGTCGGACCCGACCTGCAAGGTTGGCAGTGATTAAGACGTATTATACTGCCAGTCCATGTAGAAATATTGAATGTTGGTGAATGACATTTGTCGCTATGACGACCTGGCGTATTTTATTTTTCTCCTATATGAATTGGTCTGCATTGATTTTGTCATTCATAAGGTGTAACGTTAGTCCGTTATAACAACTTGAACAGAAGCCACGATCTGCGCCCATAAAGTGGACCACCTGTGGCAGAATCCGTATAGTGTGTATTCAGGCGTCGGTTAGTCAGGATGTGGGTTAAGCTAGGTCAAATTCATGCTATGGGGCTTATTGTTATGCATCTCACGTACAGCAAGCGCTTTGTGTCGATTCTGTCAATACTACCGGCACGGTACGACGACCCTTCAACATGAAACAGATTTGCAACTTATCATTTATATCCAACATACAACACTTCTTAAACTTCATTTATGTTACGTCTTGTTTATAATAAGTATGTTTTCACACTGTCGTGCGGGGTTGCGAGGTTGCGGTGCTGTGAACAGTACTTCAGCCATATCATGTTGTCCTAGGAAATTACAAAGTGACGAAGGTCAAAGACGAAACCAATGAGCATGGTAATGTGCTGACAGAACGAGGATATCTGGCAGCCCGGTCTACAGCCTCAAAGTAAAAAAAACGATCAAGAGAAACGTTAAACCCGGAAAGATATATATTAATATTTGTTGCGCCTAAGAACAGCTACCCCTGCTTCCTTAAATATTTCAGGACGTTTATGATGAAACTATTAATCTTGTGTTACAGATCAGACAAAGACGTCACACCAGAGCTTTCTCCAAGCAAAGAAAAGGCGTTCATTGACAATGTCAAGAAGGCACAGAAACGGAAGAAATCGAAGTTGCCCTTCATTCGCATGCGGCGAGAGTTGCCGCCACCCGCACCAAATGCCTTGTGTTTCTGTCTGAAGAACAAACGTAGCTTCTCCCATGAAGAAATCAAGACGATTTTAGAGAATCAGCTAGGTACCTCCATAACAACCCTGATGTTTGATCCCCTCTACGTCCACCTAGGAGTGGAAAATACCGATGGTGCCTGTCTATGGGTCTTCTCACTAGCAGATGACTCGCTCAGAATCCACTTACTGCATCAAGGTATAATATTCGAAGAAAACCGTTTGCGCGTGCGTCGCTATGACGACGTGTTGTTCGATGAACATGAAGCTTACCGCCTGTACCGCAGCGTGGAAGAGGAACATCAACGTCTGCAGCTGGTGCCATCACAACGGCGGCACTCACAAAAATCGCTGGGGAGTGAGCTCAAGATCCAAAAACATGTTGCCTTCACAGGCTCTTTTTGAATTACCGTTATGTATTATCCTTTAATGGGTCATTAATCACTTCATATTTCAGGTTCTGTTGAAAATGTATGAATGTTGAGTTTGCATAAAGATTTGTAAATGTACCTGTTCAACCAAAGTTCTATTGCACTGCATCATTATAGTCCCTAATCAACACAATAAAAGTATGCTATTCGTACTTCATGTTTTCATGTTTATCTAAGATCATGTCTCACATGAGGTGCCTCCCTGCACCTGCGATTGTGGGGATAAAAAATTAGCTGAACTTGGGGGCCCCATGTACTTGGCACCCATTTATAAGTGCTGGTGTCATGGTAACTTGAACCAGGTAGTAAAGTTGTCTATCAGATCTGGACCCCTGGGTTACTTGCACTGGACCAGGGTTGCACAGAGACTTAGTTGCTTACCTGACAGAAATAGTCAGATCAGTAGATGAATGGTGATATAGTTAAATTTGCTGCCAGAAATGGGCATCACACATTGTGCCCCTGTGGGGAATCGAAGCCAGGTCTTCAGTATGACGAGCGAATGCTTTAACCACTAGGCTACCCCCACCCTTGAACAAGATGAAGTGGCCTGATGGAGACATTACAGCAGCTCCATCTACTCCATACCATACAAACACAACACAAATGACATAGTACACCATTTTATTTTCACAAAACTAGAACCATCTGTTTTTTCTTCAATAAATTAACTAAAATCACCTGCCTCTAGCAGAAGAATAAAATTTGTACCATTGCTAAAACAGTGCATACAAACAGAAACATACATTCTGAACATACAGATGACGATGATGGTAAGATGTTAATGATGATATGAGAGCCAGTTATCAGAGCTACAACTGCTTGTTACCAAAGTTGTTCTCATTCCCATCGGTAACAGGGTCACAGTTCTGTAGTATTTGGATAAAAGAATCTGTCTCAAAGTTTGTTCTATTAAAAATTCCTAAAATGGTTAAAACATGAACATTTTAGTTGTATTTTTAGGTAAACAATATGAAATATTTTTGTCAAAATTGATTTTAGAATATCCGGAATGAATAAACTTGATGTTTCCTTAAAAATATGTACATTTCAAGTTTCACTTAGACACTAATTTGTAAACGTATCCTGATAACAATGATATTACATCTGTATTTGTTATCCATCTACCCTCTCTTGGTACAGGAAGTATGATAAACATGAGATCTATCGAGACACTCCACAGTAGACAGTAAACATGTGACACCTAGCCATCAGGGGTATCATACCTATTCCCTAATTGATTATGCTAACCCGATAACCAAAATGAAGGAAGAGAGAAACCCAGAGTTGAGTGATACATTATGCTATAAATAATGAGTGAACACTCTCACTACATCACACCAATATGTACAATTGAAACATTTCTTTTTATAAATACACAAATGATTTATGTTAAATTTTATGTGTTTTCATAAAGAATAAAAGTAAAATTTGAAACGTAATTCAGTAAACTAAAACCATGACTTTCAAGATAATATCTGTATGAAAATGATAATTTAAATGATACACGATAAAATGGCCATTAAACTATTTCTTTGTTAAATATGTCACATTTAAAGGAGCGACTCTCATGCCAGTGTTGATAAAATTATAAATGCAGGATGTTAAAACTGTGATAAAACGTGCCCGGTTTCATCAAAGCCATACATATTTGTGGCTAGTTGCATAAGCCATGGCAGATACATCACTTTCAACTTACTGGGATAAATAAATTCCAGTCCTGATGGCTATAGCTATCTATGTATGACAGAAAAGTAGCACCAGTTGGGTGCTGGTAAGTTAGTAAGAGTTAGCTCCCCTGATAGGGCAACATGCCATCTGAGAACCAGTTGACACTGTTAATTTAAGCATGGCACATATCTCAAGACAGGCGTTACTGAAGATGCAGGATATTTTGGTAAATTGCCAACTGTCACATAAAATAGAATTATACAGGATGCATTGAGTAAAAACTTTGCATTTGATGTGCACGTTCATAATATCCGCCAAACCATATGGTTTGTATGACAGCAATGATAAATGTAAAAAACAGTTAACACATAAAATATAACACCTGTACATCTCCACTGCATCACAGTCAAACATGGCTCTTCAGATCTATCTCACCTACACACACTCTGACCCCACCTGCCTATCAGGGCATTTCACGTGGGCCACGTGGTTGGCTGGTGTGCGGTGTGTCTAGGTATCTGCTGGACGTCTAGCTACCTGGTTTACTCATGTCAATCCTCTTTCACGAACAGCGCTCGCATGTCATTGAGGGACCTCCTCAATTCAATGCCAAACTTCTGAGAATTCTGTAAATATGAATAAGAAATTGATAATCTTCTATTCATCTAAACTGCCCACTACAAACCTGTCACACATAAATCTTTTTTGAGAATTATACAAAGGAAGATCTGTTTCAACTATCATACAGATTCTCTCAGTCTAATACTTACAGTAAGTGGACAGGACTTCTTGGAGGATATATGGAAGAAGATAGTGTCCTCTCCAGCCACAACATACGATACTCCATATCCATCATCAGCAACCTGTAACATGAAACACATGTAATAAATACATCTCAAATACATACAGACTTTTACATTTCCACACATCTGCTCTTGTATTTGGCATTGAAAGAAGAATACAAATATTTTCACATATCACAGAAAATTCTTTTCTGGCTTGCCTTCAATGTAACAGCATTAGAACTAGTTTATAAGGTGCTTCAAATATTCAAGTAAGTTGACATACCGGCCCAAAGCCACCTCCTGCACAGATTCTGTCTGGGAATTTCTTCAGGTCCAGCTTGTCTGTCTGCTGGTGAGGAGTCTGCAAACAACACTCACATTTCAGTCTCCACATGTACACACTCTTATAATGTCCTTAGGTTTACAATGCTGACAACATAAATAAGGCATACTCCTGGCCCACCTGCACATACACATGCTTACCTGACTTGTGGACAGCCTCCAGGGCTCACTGAGAACTTCAGCCAGGAATGGAGAGTCAACACCAAGGTATTTAGAGACGACATACAGACAGAAGAGATGCCTGTCAATACCAAGTCCGGTCATGCACTCCCTGTATGCATGCTGATGAACCTCTGCTGCCTGCTTCAGCAGGTTGATACGCCCAGCATTCTGGAAAGCAGAAAACACTAATTATCATCTATTTCTTTATAGGTTCTGGGCACTGATATAGCAATATATGTAACTGCACTTACAGTGTTATTCTTGTCATCCATTGCTCTCACAAATGCACAGGACTCCACAGTGCATGATCGGACAGTCTCAGTCCGTCCTTCTCTGAACAGTCGGGTCATGGAGGACTCGTAGGTAAGACAGAACTTGTTGGTAGACTGTAACATATTCAAAAAGTTTTTAATGAAACCCACTGCTTTAAAATGTTCCTAAAAGGATATTACAGATTTCTAACTGAATGGCAAAGGAAACTGTACTTGGCATAGATATTTTACTCTGGTATAGGAGCTGCAACCCTAGATAAGATTTTATCTCGTGGTTGATATTGAGTTTTAGAGCAAGTCTTTACCATACAATGCATTGTGTGATTGAGTAAATGATGCATAAAGCTATAGTAAGCAATATCATAGTAGTCTGGACTGATCAAACCAGAGACTAAAACTCTGAGCAACAATTCATGTTTATAGGTTGTAACTACACAGGAAACAGCTTAAGTTACAGAGCCTAATCACTCATTCACTTAAGTTGATTTTGTAAAAATTTCAGAATAATTGAAAAAATTCGCCACAGGGTTATACGTGAACTGAAGAGCTATTCCAAAATCTTGTAGAAAAGGCCTACCCTGTGATATGTGAGCTGCAGAGCCATCTGAATGAAGGCATCAGGAGACACTCTGCACTTCTTGATGAAACCTTTACCATAGTCTTTGAACATGAGCACATTGAGATCAACATCACTGATGATCTGGCGGGCAATCTGCAGGCTGTTTTCTATCACTGAGTTTGCCTGTAATTGAATGCAACACATAATTACTGATTGTCATTTCTGATGAGTAAAATTGATATTTTATACTTATCCTGACTCATGCTCTTTTTGCTTGTCTTCTTCTTCTTCAAGTTATATTTCTGACATAGTGGAACACTTGTATCTCCCTAATTGAAGCTCCTTCAATTTAAAATCACTAATTAGTATTCACCACGAGTTACCTCCCTTTCCACAAGCCTTCGGGCGAGGGAACCACCTCCCTCTACCCATGTGCCTCACTCTCTCCTCATATACTGAGCCCAACATTTGAATTTACAGGGAAATCCAAAGTGTTATTTGGGGAGGATGGGAGGGCTGACCTCATGAGTCAGGATAAGTATAAAATATCAATTTTACTCCAAAAATTACATATTTTTCCTTATCCTGACTCATGCTCTTTTGCTTGTAGCATCCTACACAGAACGGAGGTGGGAATATCTAATACTTTGGATTTTTAATAATTAGTGATTTGAACTGTGATGATTGTAATAACCCTATGGGAACTTCATAAAGGCACTGAACTGATGAATTCCTGCTGCTAACTTATCAGCTGCCATATAAAAGGTTATTACCATGTACTTATTATGATAAAGTATATATAACATTAATACAATGCTTAAGACTAATAGACTTAAGCTTGTTAATATGCTAGTATAAACTCCTTAGAGTTTGTTAGCTAAAATACTTTAAGATATAACATAGTACTAAGCTTAAGATATGATTAAACTTAAGCTAATTATATAATAGCAAACTCTTTAGAGTTTGTTAGTTAATATACTTATATGATATAGATATAATGCTGAGCTTAAGATATGAATAAGCTTTAGCTACATATATAATAGCAAAAACTCTGTAGAGTTTGTTAGCTAATATTGTTATAATAATATATTTTTATAATATGAGTATATATACTCTGTAGAGTTTGTTAGCTAATATATTTTTATAATATAAGTATAGTACTGTGCTTAAGCTATAATTAACTTAAGCTACATATATAATAGCCAAACTCTGTAGAGTTTGTTAGCTAATATATTTTTATAATATTAGTATAGTACTGAGCTTAAGATATAATTAACTTAAGCTACATATATATAACAAAACTCTGTAGGGTTTTGTTAGCTAATATATTTTTACAATATGAGTATAGTAGTGTGCTTAAGATATAATTAACTTAAGCTACATATATAATAGCAAAACTCCGTAGAGTTTGTTAGCTAATATATTTTACAATATGAGTATAGTAGTGTGCTTAAGATATAATGAACTTAAGCTACATATATAATAGCAAAACTCCGTAGAGAGTTTGTTAGCTAATATATTTTACAATATGAGTATAGTATTGTGCTTAAGATATTATTAACTTAAGCTACATATATAATAGCCAAAAACTCTGTAGAGTTTATTAGCTAATATGTTTATAGTGTAACCATAGTACTAAGCTTAAGATAAGATTAGACTTAAGCTAAATGTATATAGCAAAATAAACTCCTTAGAGTTTATTAACTAATATACTTTTATGTTAAAAACATAGTACTGAGCTTAAGTTATGATGAAACTTAAGCTATATATATATAATAACAAAACTCCGTCGAGTTTTTGTTAGCTATCTGCCTTTATAATGTAAACATACTGCTTAAGATATGATGAAAACTTAAGCTAATTGTATAATAGCGAAAACAACCCTTTAGAGTTTGTTAGCTATGATATAAACCTAGTATTGAGCTTATGAAGGAAAACTTAAGCTACATATATAATAGCAAGAACTCCGTAGAGTTTGTTAGCTAATACATGTTATAATGTAACCATAAAGCTTAAAATATGATGAAACTTAAGCGAAATATATAATAGCAAAACCCTCTTTTAGAGTTTTGATAGCTAATATACCTATATGATATAAACATAGTACTGCTTAAGATATGAATAAGCTTAAGTTACATATATAATAGCTAAAACTCTGTAGAGTTTGTTAGCTAATACATGTTATAATATAACCATATTGCTTAGAAATATGATGATACTTAAGCCAAATAGCAAAAAACTCTTTAGAGTTTGTTAGCTAATCTACTTATATGATATAAACATAGTACTAAGCTTAAGATATGAATAAGCTTAAGCTACCTATATAATAGCAAAACTCCTTAGAGTTTGTTAGCCAATATATTTTAATAATATGAGTATAGTACTATGCTTAAGGTATAATTAGCTTAAGTTACCTATATAATAGTAAAACTCCGTAGAGTTTGTTAGCTTAATTAACTTAAGCTATGTATAAAATAGCCAAAAACTCTGTAGAGTTTGTTAGCTAATGCATTTATCATGTAACCATAGTATTACTCTTAAGATATGAATAACTTAAGGTAAATATATATAATAACAAACTCTGTAGAGTTGTTAACTTATATATTGTATGATGTAATAATCATAGTACTGTGATGATAAAAGGAACTTAAGTAAATTATATATAGCATGAAGCTATTTAGTATTGTTATAAGATAAGTAAAAATCTGTTAGATTGACTTATCTTCTCCGAGGAACTGTCAGCTGTTGTGCGAGGACCATGGGATCGAATTGGTGTATACCTGAGACGTCCTCGGTGGTGATATCTCTCAGATAATGGTTTGCAACCACCATATCGGATTTCCAGAAATAAACCCTCCATTATTTCAATCACATTTGTGTAGAACAATTGTAGAAGTTAGCGCTATAATATCATGAGTATTAAGCTCATGGAGGGTCGGAATAGGTCCATCCGCATATGCACGTAGTATGACAGTTCTGATCCAAATGGAGATATAGTACATGAGACTTCACTCTGCGTAAGTTGATGATAGAGGAAATAATCTGTTGCATTTTTTCCTCCTGTTTGGTTTGGTGGAGATAAATTTACAGTGCTCTTGCTGGCCATCTTGATAGAATCATCGTATCATGGGGTCCAAGTATGTCATCCAGGCGTGTTCATAAACCTCACTTGTGAGGTGTTGGAGCACTATATTCATATCCCCAGGTTGGGCGTGAAATTTCCGTTTTATTCTCCAAACAGAAGTTTAGTAGGTTTACTAACCATCTAGTTGTGTTAGTCGCTTGATGAAATTCAGCTGTAGTCTGAAACGCTGTGGATTTAGATCCACTTGTATCTTTCGTCTAGGTAATTCGCTGCGAAGTCCTTGACGATGTAGGTGCACAACCAGGTGTGTCTGTCCTCGTTGAACTTTATGTAAAATCGCCTGACTGCCGATCCCTCGTCTTAACTTGACAGGGGAGGTCTCTAACTTGAAGAAAGGCAGTCTAATCATGAATGTTCAGGTTAACTGGACTGTAATGAGGCTTGCTCGTTCACTGATATATAGTTGTCACTTGTGACGTAAGTCTTGAACTGTGAATAGAGATCGACCTCTGTGTAGGTCGTTGTCCCTCGCGGTCCAATCAGAACAAGGCATTTTGATTCTGTATAATACCCGCGCTGTGATGTCACCGGTGTAGCGGGAAAAAACCCACCTTGAATAAATTCTTGTCGTCGTTGATATTAGCATAAACGTCGGTCTTCACCGTAGCTTCCCGAAGTTATCCGAGTGACCACGTGTTTCGAGGGTTAATGGTAATCGCGCGAAAACCTCCGGCGCGAAATATCTCGCTCTGTAATTTTATGCTGGGTAGGTTATTTTCCTGGTTGTCGTGAAAGTAATTTCAGTTTTGAATATAATTCCGACTTCCTTATATATAAGGGTATAAACAACTTGCAAGTTGTGAGCTTGTAGACTGTATACATGAATGTATCGTCATAATTGTAGAATTAACGTTGAACTTGTTGTACATATTTCTTCTCAGAAACTTTGACGATTAAGAGTTATACTCGCTGTAACAAGGCTGCTGTTCAATTTCGATATTGAATTGTCTGCAGATATGCGTAATGGTCACGCATGTAGATAATCGTATCGTCGTCCGGGATTGTATATTAGCAATTTATACGGAATAGTTGATTTCTGTGAAGATCTATGAAATGTCGTTGACTAATAATACAGCGACGTTCTGTGTTGTAAATAGCCTGAGCAATTATCTTCGCGTAGGCTTATAGACGGCATCTGGCATACAGTTGATAATCAACTTATGCGACGTCTTGAACGGACTGACGAGTAGCTATATATGACGAGTGGCTAGTATATGGAAACCTTGGAGGAGACTTCCTCGGTGAACGCCGGAGACTTCGCGAAGTTCTCGAAGTATCCCTTCTAGATCTTCTGGGTGAAGTAGACTTGGAGCCACTTAGCCTTCGCGACCATCGCGAAGGTGTCGAGTCAAAGCCCGATTAGTATATATATATATATATAAATATATATATGAGCGCTTGCTTCGTGAACAGCCTCTGTGTTTAACAGGATGTGGGATCGGCGAAGCGCTTGCCTAAGTAGGGCCGCATGGATCATCTTATCATATTCAGAAGTCGTGTTACGAAGTCTGGTGATAAGTGTCTAATTGATCGTTCTAGATCTATTTAGGCCAGCGAACATACGTCTCGTCATGGATTCAACAGAACCAATATACGATTGTAGTTCTTATACTTGATATCGATGATCAACTTGTCTATGGGTTGATCTTCTCGGAGACTTGTGAGGGGAACGTTGATAGTTTCGCGAAGCTCTTGTATAGTCCCTCGATGTCCTTCTAGATGATGATGATCTGGATTCAGGTGTCCTTCGCGCATGCCTTCGCGAAGCTTCCTCTGCGTCCGGTCCGGGGGGAACGACGATATGACCTTCGCGAAGGCTTCCGTGATGTCTGATGGTCGAGTCCACATCTAGGGATGAAACCGCATAAGGTGATGATCTATCCTGCCTTCGCGAAGTCCTTCGCGAAGGCTGTACATCTAGGTTCTTTCCGCCTTCGCGAAGGCTGTACATCTAGGTCCTTTCCGCCTTCGCGAAGGCCTTCGCGAAGGCTGTACATCTAGGTCCTTCGTCAAGGTGGTCCGTGACTTCCTTCGCGAAGGTGACATCGTCCTGGCTGCTACGTTGACGGGGGGTGCCTCTGGGGTGCTGTCTACGTTGGAGCCTTCGCGAAGGCTCGGACCCTGCTACCGCAGATATTGGTCCTCCATGATGTTCATAATTTGTCGCATCATGTCTTCTGGGATGGTCTGCGACGAGGTCGTCGGTGCTTTATCTGCGGTGTTAATGGAGGGGTCCACCGGAAAATCGTCCGACATCAGTGTAGAGGCATCAGGCTGCATGGTGATCTCTGCTGATGTCGTTGTAGCTGTCACCGGTCGTTTCTTGTGGCGTACGTCGGGGATGATGATCAGCTGATCATCGTAGAGGTCCAGGTCATCGGCTGGAACAATCTCGGTTGAGAAAGTCCTAGTAGACTTCGTTGATTTTCCCTCAGAGGTCGACGCTGCCCTGGGTGTGCGACGTCTGCGTTGAGTGTTGGTAATGATGGGACCCTCAGGACGATCATCGCATATCTGCGTTGGTACATCAGGCTGCATGCTGATCTGTGCCGACATCGGTCAATCTTTGATGTACATCCGGTATGATGACCGGCTGATCATCATACAGGCCCAAACTTCGATGGGAACGGTCTCGGTTGTTGAGATGTAGTAGAAAAACCCTCTAGTCTTCTGCTGCGACGATGGGATGTCTGGGGAAGCAGGATGCTTCTTGGAGATGGCGGACTACGTCCCACACCTCTCCACCACTCTAGCGGAACACCACACGGGAGGGGAGTCGGCCAACAGCAGTAGACTGGCGAGGGGTTCCGGTGTATCAGTCATACTAGACTCTGCATACGCGACCTATCTGCTGTGCGTGCCAAACGCAAAGTAAATATTAATAAAAAGGTAGAATTGGATAAATTAGTACCGCAACTGCAATGTGAATATAATAAACATGGCGCCGTACATCATATTAAAGGCGGATCAGCAGCAGCATAAAAAACGTAATCTGCAATAGTACAGAATTTTCATCAACGTAATCCACTGAAACAAACACGGCGTCCCGTGAATAAACTGTAGAAAAACGACTAAATATCAATATATAATCGTTGAAGGATACTAGCTAAACCTCTATAGATGTCTATACGAGGTAACTAACTAAATATAATTCAAAGGATATAGTGTGTCGGGAGACACAGGCGCTCTCACGTCCAGCTCACTGGGCGAAGAAGGAGAGAGTGAGGCACATGGGTAGAGGTGGCGCCCTCGTTCCCGCGCTTGTGGAAAGGAGGTAACTCGTGGTGAATACTAATTAGTGATTTTAAATTGAAGGGAGCTTCAATTAGGGAGATACAAGTGTTCCACTATGTTCGCAAGAAGAAGAAGACAAGCAAAAAGAGCATGAGTCAGGATAAGGAAAAATAAGACATTTACACTTAATTCTATCGATCTGTTAACAACTTATTCACATTTCATTGATTACCAAATTTATAAATATCTGTAGTCTATCAAAAGGTTTTATATTTCTGTATTGTTGGTATGAAACTGGGATGATGTTAGACAAGTTAGTTATGTGTAAGCACTGACAGTTAGTAACCTTGTTAGTCAGAAACTGATGACTGTGAGTGTTTGAATTATTAATACATAGAACTAGCAATGCAGTGAACATCCATATCAACTGCAGCAAGCTTGACAACACCAATGAGACACATGCACTCAACCCACTTGCCAGTCTGGCAAACATTAAAGCATCATGTGTCACACCAAGTATCTGAGAGGAAGAACGATGTACCATCAGGATTATATTTGTAGTAAGAAAAGGAACATTAATTTTCTTGTTAAGAAGACTTTATCTGATTAGAAAGTTCTTTTACATCCTTGGTCTAGGTGTCCCTTTATGAATAACTAGCCTACAGCTTTGGCTCTCTATAAGTTTCCTATGCGAAATTTGTTACTGTCTTACGTAACTGTTCTTCTAGGGCATGTCCTTGCCTGTCCTGACCTGGTACGGCTAAATATTTCAGCGGTCCTTTCTTATGGTTCACATGATGACTTTGCTTTCAAGCGAAAGATCAATATAACCTTTACTTCACTCAATACGAAATAAGCACATCTTTCCTTTTGATCATAGATCATACATATGAACAGCATACATATACCTGGTAAAGACATTCCAAATTATCCATCTATTAAACTTTTGTTTGCAGTTTACTGAATTTCATTGTTTAACAAGAAAGCTTTATTAGTGAATATTTTGAATACATATTTGAAAGGTTACATTAAACAGGCCTCTTCTTATTATTAAAGGGGCATTGATCCAGAGCGAGTCAACAAATTTATTACATGGTCTAGCTGCCAGGTGGGCAGCACAGGGACTGGGCAGCTGTTTACCTTGGCAGAATATCTTCAACCTAAACATTGAAAGAATAAGAACGGTGGATGCCCATCAGATGCAGTTATTTGAAAATGTCCCCTGTAGTTATAGTCTGATTGTAATAAAGTATTCCAGCAGTGTGAGCTTTTTTGGATTTTCTGATGAGTTGATGGTATGATGACCGTACAAACTGTTCTGTTCAAATCCTCAAAACAGCATCAACCTTTAAGGCAAAAATATATAGGCGTACATTGACTGTTTTCTTTCAATCCTAACATTTTTACCACTGGCAGAAGAAGAAAAACTTCAAATTGTTTTCATTTTTTATCACGATAATGAAGATGGAAACATCAATGGGTACAAAGATGACTTCAATTTCCAATCAATTCCAAGATGAAGTTGTATTTCATTTATGTTGATCAACATAAGGATACGCTCTATACTACCAATTGCGCTTGCAGGTTGCACAGCAGAGATCGAACCCCAGTCAAGAATTCTGGGATATCCTATGGGTAGTCATGGGGGAAAAACAATAACAAAAGCAACAACCAGTCCCGGGGAATTGCTCTGGATCAGTGTCCCCCAGACTGTTACACAGGGACAAAATCACTAGATAGATGCAGACAATGACCAACACAACCAACCATCTGTTGTTTTCACCCTCTTTGACTGATTAAGTAATTCAAAACTAAAAGTATATGCTCCCCATCTGAGAGTAAGGATCAATTTATACTCAAAGGCAAAAGTTATTGTGATTGACTTTTAGATATGTGAATTAACAACAGATATTTATTTTATGAGACTTTTTATTATTGCAAGAAAACTCATTCCACAATAGGATTGCAAATGGTACACTTTAAACTTTTCTGGTGGACACATGCTAATGAGGTCACAGAGAGATGCCGGGCAAAATGAAATTAATCCACCATGAGCATTGATGCATGCTTGACACCTGCGCCCCACAGAGCCAAACATCAAACATCACAAGTCGTCTTGTGGAATGGCATTCCATATCTGTGGGAGCGCCTGGCAGAGCTCCTAAAGCGTGACTGGGGGATTTAGAACATCTCTTCTCCTCTCCTGTCTCCTCTCACATGCTCTCCACCACAGATGTTGTCAGCACCACTGCAGTGGTAGACGTTGGTGATGCAATGTCAAAATTTGACGTCTGGAAGGACATCTAGCATGTATCCTGTGTGCAGCCCGACGTGGGCGAATGGTCCTTGGCGATATCCTGTTGACACCAGGAACACCGGGCTGTCAGTGTGGCTGATTTGGGATCTTTGGTGTGGATGGGTGGTTCAAATCCAACAATCATTACATTGGTTACAGGTGGAGGACCACTTTTGGGGCAGTCTGCAACGACAGTGTTTCGTTGATAACATCTCCACAAGTGGCATATGGTGTTCCTGTGCACGTTAAACTGCTGTGCAACGTTGTGCTGGGGTGTTCCGTTTTCAAGCATCCCAATGGCTCACCATCTTTCATTTTCAGTTAGCCGTAGCATAGAGAAATGCAAGCAGATTCTTCCAAATTTGTGTTTTACGGACCCATCAACATCTAAACAATGATTTGGGTGACAATGATTCAAGGTGTAGAGTCACACTGTTTAAAGGGCACGTTTTATGCCTTTTCTCCACAGACTTCTTGAAAGCATGAAAAACGCATGCAAAACAAAAACTACCGACAGTGCCCTGTTTGGGTCATGAACTATGTGTATTATAAAGAATATTAAAATGCATTATAAAAATGTTCCATTTATATAAACAAATATGTTGATCACAATAACTTTTGCCTTTCAGTATATATAGGGTTACAGTAATATACACTTACAAAAAAAGTAGGGTAACTTCATTTATAATTTACGATTGAAAAAATTGGGAGATAAATCGGAGTCAATCAATGTTGATATGATAATAATGAATGTATTGAGAATGCATCACCAATTACACTTCCTTATGACCATAGTTGTTTGTACAGTAATCGCTCTTGAAAGATTATTGGTGTATGACGTGAAATTTGCATGTGTACGATTTTCATTTTCAAACAAACAAAAAAGCTAGAAAAAACACTAAGAACTGTGTGATGCAAGATGATTGTCAAAATTAATGGTCTACAGTGATTTATCGACCTTCTTGAAAACCATCAAAAATTAAGAGTGGCACCTTATGCACATGTATGGGGCTACAGAGTTGTGCATGTGCATCCCATGCATTGTCATCATATATAAGATGTCTGTCTTTGAAAAGTTTGTTAACGCTTACACTTCCTATCTAAAGTGAAAGTTTAGGTTCCCCTACTTTTTTTTTCAAGAGCATAATAGACACTTAGACATAGAAAGCCATGTTACCCGAGGTTCCAGACTTCCGCCAGCAACATTTCCCACAGCTGACCCATGATGGGTGCATCAGCCCTGTTGTCACGGTTACAAAACGGTCACATTACAAACAGAGGGTTGACAGGTTGAACACACACCGGGTTAGTTCACAGAGGAGTGATTGGGTGGGGAAAGGAACAGACAAACAAATAAGACAATACAACAATAAAAAAAAAGAATACAACATCCATAAGTGAACAAGAACCACAATGCGCATCAAAGCAACTTCATCCAACCACATACAATTTCCAAAATGGCAGAAGCCAGGGACACAGTGACCTTGTCATGTAGATGAGCCATGGGGGACAGACACAGCTGTTAGAGGCTTAAAGATATCTTGGTACATCTCCTACCATGAAGGCAAAGGGGAGCATCAAATGTTTCCCTGTTCAGGCACATCTAAATGAGCAAGGTCACCATGGTCATACCTGTCAGCTGAGCCAGCCAACATGCACCTAGTGAGGTCACAAGCAACCAGCAGACAAGTGATGGAGTGAATACAGATATTGTAAGCAGGTGACAATGGTGATGCCGCTGATGTTAAAAAATTACCCTGCATAATGTACTTCGCCACTGATTGCGTACTCCCACATATGAGCCATGATTGGGGCATCAGCCCTGCAGGAGGAGAAGTCAGTCAGAAGATGCAAGAATACATTAGCTGCTGCTGCTGCTGATGGTGGCACCGACACCAGAAACAATACTTACCAGGTCAATAACTGCCATATCATACTGCTGTATCTCAACAACTATAAGAACCCTTGTTGAGATACACATTGAAGGTCTACTACCATTATTGTGTTACACACATGGGCAGTGTATATGATACATTGGAAGTCTAATAAGCAGCAGAAGACAGTAGGACATAGTTTTCATGTTTCACAAGCATACACTTTCTCAACATGATGACATAGATATGATCAAAATATGCACTAATAGTGCTCACTTGACAGAAGGCACACTCTTTTTCCAGAAAAGTCCAGAAGTCAAGGCATTGTGAATGTTTTGAACACATTTCTTCCAAAGCATCCTCCTTTAATGACATTTATGTCCCATGCCTCCTTTCTGAATCATGTTTATAGGCTGGTATATCCAATTCTAATGGAATGACCAGGACCCTTAATTTCAGTTACTTAAATTACTCATTATTTCTAGTTGGAAACATGGTTGCAATCACAAGACTTCAAAATAATCTGAAAGACAAAGCATTGTCAAACATACTTCATGATCAACCCTCACTGTGACATTGACATTAAACACATATATCACTCAACCTCTTCCTATGATGATAGGAACCAAGTTTCAATTGCTTTGAGAGAGTGTGAACAGTTTTACCGTCCAGATGAAGAACTTACCCTTGACATAACTGATTAATGTCTCAAGAAAATCTCCCGCAACCAAGCATAGATACAAACGATATGATATCCCTGAGACATCCAATCGATTTACACAGTGATGGCAAACACCAACAAAGTCATCAAGTCTGACCAGCTGATCTCCCTTGTTGCCGTTCCACAAACATGGGTTGGTGAGGACCAATTCCAACTCTAAGATGTGCTATCGTGATTTTCAAGATACAAAATCTTCATTCTACTTAGATGACTATCAACAGAAATGTAATAAATTTTATCTACATTATATTTTTTTTTTAAAAATCAAGATTTTTCAGTGGCTACTGCCACTGTACCCATAGTTCTACAGAAACAGTGTTACTACAGCAGAAGGTAGGGGTGACTCACCAGGAATGTTCTGCATTGAAGCCAATCTGCAACAACAAGTAGGATCACATTACTCAGTAGATGTCTTCACTAAAACACTAGATCCATAATGGATAGTGTTGGTACACATTACATGTTTTATCAAAACTACTTCAGTGGGTTTTTTTTTATGTTTCTGTTTTATTCCCCTTGAGTGTGTGAGTGCTAAAGTGTGTGAGTGAGTTTAGTTTAATGCCGCACTCAGCAATATTCCAGCTATATGGCAGCAGTCTGAAAATAATCGAGTCTGGACCAGACAATCCAGTGATCAACAGCAAGAGCATGGATCTACACAATTGGAAAACGATGACATGTGTCAACCAGGTCAGCGAGTCTGACCACCCGATCCCGTTACTCGCTTCTTACGACAAGCATAGGTTACTGAAGATCAATTCTAACCCCAATCTTCACGGGTATATTCTCCTATAATTATAGACAAATTATCAAAACCAAAACACATATGTGAAAAAAGGAGAATTGAATGTTGTGATATCAAAATGGCCAGAACAATGGGTGTGCCCTCCCTCCATTACTACTTACATGTCCATTTGAACACACAACCAGAGTGAAAGACTTGTCAAACCACCGGTCATAGCCTTTTCCATGAAGCATAGCTTTTCCAAACCTGTCCAGACTGGATGGATCATTCTGCAACATACAGATGTTGTTATAGTCAAACAAACCCACCTGTGACAGGCAGGAACAGCTACAAGAAATCTATACTTCACTTCTTTTCAATATTCTTTAGGGATACAGCTGACACACTTATCTTAGGTGATGCAAATAATCATAAAGAGTTGCATCCCTTACTTGGCCAATAATGAATCCAAGGATGATGGGATCAAATCACAGATTTGTCTTATAGTCTTTCATGGTTTCTCATCAGCAAACACTGCTGCATGTGAATGTCAATGTCAAAGAGATGTATCACTTTCCTCCAACATTGATACAATTGACCTACTGTTCAAACTTAATCAGTGTCTCACTATCTTTTTCTTAGACACTTCAAACATGACAATGAACAAATCCTACATATACAGTCGTGCCTAGTGTATCCGGACACTTGTGTTTTTCTTGAAATTGTCCGGATAAACAAATTTTCGGATATCTGAATACGGACCATATGTAAAAAGACATACAAAGAAACGAACATAATAGACCTAAGATGTAATCTTCATTGATAAGACATCAACATAAATATCATCTTGTCAAATAAAGTAGTCAAGTCAGAAACACTTGCGAACATGACTGTACATGCATCTGTCTGTGAAATGCTAGCAACCAATCACGAAACAGTTCTGATGTCATCCATGCATTGCATTGTCAGGGCTCGATTTTGTGCTTTGTTACTTGCACTGGTGCAACCCAATGTAACAAAGTGCAACCCAGTAATTTGTCTAACTTGCACCAGGTGCAAGTCAATTGTTTAGAATTTTATCAACAAAAAATATAACATTTAAGCATAATTATGTCAGCTCATTTTTCTTCTAAACTTTAAATACTTCACTAACATATTTCTTTCATTACATATTGCAATAAGAGCAGTGCAGCTGGAATTTGGCTGGTTGCATGTAGGTTTTTTATCTCAGGTTGCACCTGGTGCAAGTAGGTTACCATCTCTTAAATCGAGCCCTGATTGTTCCTGGACCTAACATAAACTTCCAGATTAAAGTCACTACCAAAACAATGGGGACATCTAGCCTTACCAATCACAACTCCAAATTAACTCAGTGTCACCTTGCTAATTACAGGTAGTTAATCCTCTCACGCTTCAAAGACTGACGATTTCTTTTATATAAGGGCACGCAAAGCCACTCAGTAAAATGCGCGTGTAAACATACTGACAGGTGCTCAGCCATCCGGATATATGAGCAAAAAATGCATATAATTTAGCGTTTTGTATGTGAAAACGACCGTCCGGTTACGGAAACCGGATTTCCAGATAAGTGAGTACTTTAACATTGTGAATTCGTTTTGAGGAATTTTCGTTCGGAAGGCTGAGTTTTCCAGATATCTGAGGTTCGGATAAACGGGGCACGACTGTAAATCCATACGTTTAGCATAGTTGTCTTCGCAGGGATATGCATCATCATAACTCCTCATATCTGGAGAGGAGTCCTACACAATTCCTCATCAACAACACTTAAAACATCTCACCGCTTCATAGCCATGTGGTTCTTCATCCAATGCCACAAAAAAGGCAGCCTGAAAGTAGAGGAAGGATTATATCTTGTTCCACCAGACATTAACAGCACCAACAATTATCCATGTGTGAGCCATGTACACACACTGTTAAAACAAATAGAACATAATATTCCTCTTCTCAAGCGATCAACTAGAGGTGGTGGTTTGCAAGTGAGCATCAGGGATGAGTGGTTCCCAGTACCTGCCACTAGTGCCAGTTCTTTCGGTGTGACACACAAACTCCAAATAAAGATGAACGATTGGTATCTGGCAAGTCTGTAGTCTCACATTTACCAGAATGTATCTAGGGTATTGTATTGTGACACACCTACCTTCTCAATAGCATCCAATGAAGCTTTGTTCTTGCCCTTTGAGAAAAACTCCTTTCTTGCCTTAGCCCAGTTGACCCTCTCCCCGCAGTCAGGGCAGCCAGATGCTCCTCACCATATGATGGCTCAGAGTTGTCATCAAAAATCTTCTGCAGCATTCTGCAGCACAATCTCACCATACAGTTTTTAAAAGCACCAGTCTGTCAAGACTGTGTAAGCATTTAAGCACAATATGTGCTGACGAGAAACAAACCTTTAACCATAGGTTACACACATTTCTGAGGTTATCAAACTTGCTATATGTCACTTAACCTATGATAGTTCATTATGGCAAATTCATTACAGCAGTAATTCCAGTGTCTAGGATAAAACTTTGTGGCATGGGATATTATACAATGTCTTATGTCAAACAGGTGATCAGTTTTACCACTTGGATCTATATCTTTCAAACAAATCAAGATGTCTTATTTGATGGGATGATACCAAACAATTAAATCCAGATATCAAACAAGTCTTCATTTCCTTTATCACAAGCACTATATCATGAAACTTACGATTCAATCTGAATGGGTTTGAGTAGCCTGCCCTTATGCCTGATGTAGACTTTAAAGTATCGGCCACGGTAATACACAGCTATGTGGTTACTGTCCTTGTGATGTACCAAGGTGTCTGCAACACAAATGTCCAGTTAGTCACTTACTGGCAAAACATTAATCTACAAGCATCTGTCTTAAAGTGTTCACAATATCAGAGTGTCATGATATCCATCTTTCATTAAATCATAAAATGTTGCATTATGTGCATCAGTCTCTAAGTCTTTCAGGATCAGTCTCATGAACTGACAATCATATGCTAAAACAGAGTGAGTGAGTGTAGTTTTACGCCGCACTCAGCAATATTCCAGCTATATGGCAGCGGTCTGTAAATAATCGAGTCTGGACCAAACAATCAAGTGATCAACAGCAAGCTAAAACAGAAGGTGGGACAGTAGTGCAAGGGATGATGACGATGATGATGTCGATGAAGACGGGGTGGAGGAGGAGGAGGTTTATCTTGCATTAATTGCATTTATCTCTAATTTGTACAGTGATAACCATTGCACCCTTCCTTTTCGAAAAGATATGTAAGTGTTTTGCAGTCTAAAGCATGAATCTCACCTGTTTCGATGCCAGGAATACGTGTCGTGTTGAACTGCCTCTCGTACTGTGCGGAACACAGTGGAATAGTCTTGTTCAATAAAATCTACAACACAAACAAAAATCTTTGAAACTCTTCACAAAATTGTTTTGACAAAAGCAACAAAATATATACAAATAAAACATGTGACAATGATCACATTCATGGAATGCCAATATTCCATCTGCAATCTATAAGTACAGAAATGATACAATCTCACAATGCCACATGTACATGGATCGAGAAAGATTCCACCCTATATGCCATCTATTTTCCTGATGTGGATCACTAAGAATGTGTTTTGTATTGGCACAACCATTTAGAATCAAACCCAGAGTGGGCATTCATACCCACACACCCCTCATACCCAACATATAAAAGAGTTGATAGCATCAATGGAGAGTTACCGGCATGAGCTCCTCCCTGTCCACCTCACGTCTGTACTGCAGGATGGCGTAGATGATGTTGGCTGCACGTGATACCTGCACACCTGTTGGTTTCTCCAGTACAGCATCCTGGGAAAATTGTATGGAGCATGATCAAGCTTTTAGTGTAAAATGTACTCAGATCATTTATATCACAAAGACTATTTCACAGTAATTTTTTGTGATGATCACACTAACAGTTTCAAAATTTCAAAAAATCTCTCTGTTGGTGGGAGTAAAAACCAAACTGAATTCAACAGCCAGAATTATGATTTCAGGTATTCCGATTAAAGTTTTCCTTTCAGCTATTTTTTACTATTTATTTTAAATAATTCAAATAAAAACTGTGTATTTTTCATTAGTCTTTTGTCATAAGTGCTATATTTCAGGTGCTCATTCATTTACACTATTTAAAAGGAAGTCACACTGGACTTACGATTCCATAGAAGTTGCTGTTGATCATGATAGGTGAACGTCCACGGAGGTAAACATACTGTTCCCACCAGTCAGACACATAGTTTGCAGACCACCATGACTTGAGCAATAGGTAGCGCTGTAGTTTAGTCCCAATTCCATTACGGAACTCCTTCCCCAACTTTTCCATACGAGCATACTTCTCATCATCCAGCAGAGGTTGAACCGACTTCAGGTACTGTAAGGCAACAGTGTCATGTTACATACCATTCAGTAACTGTACTCTTGTGTCTGTTCGGCATCAAAGCAAAGATATTCTGGTGTTGTGAACTGATGGTAATTCTAAAAGATAGTTTAAAAATTAGTAATGTTTGTTGCTTAAATCCACACTTAGCAATATTCCAGCCATATGACTGTAGCCAGTAAATAGCTGAATGATGACCAAACAATCCAGTGAACTATAATATTATCAACTATCCACACAGACAGAACATGACGACATGTAATCAACCATGTCACTGAGTCTGACCATGTGATAGATGTGTCACCAGTATAGGTTGGTGGGAACCACTTGCAACAGAGACTCCCTATTTGGTTAACCTCCTTGGCCAAGATGAATGATGACAGTGACTTCCATGTTAAACTTACCCTTGACAATGTGCCATCCAGAGGTGGGACAAACAACTTTGGCAGAGAACCCTGGTAGCTGTTAAGAAGAGGGTTTCGACCTCCAAACACTCGCACTAGGCCCTGAAACACAACAAGCATAACAAACTTAAACAAGGGTACTTTGCTTTCCTTGCCAACTTAACAAAAGATGCCAAATTTTACTTCTCATCCATAATCATCAAAATACTATTTCTGTTGCATTGAAGGGTGCAACATCAAGCATATGACTGAAAACAGAAGTAACAGCCTATAGCATTTATTATGATTATTGATCTCAAACTATATTGCAAATTTTACAATAAATTTAGCTAAACCTGTAGAGGTTTCCAATTCTTTGAAGAGAATCGGCCTTGGGGTACATATATGCATTTTCTGCGGCTGAAAATGTCATGTGACAGTTGTATCAATGTTTTAATAAAATATTGTACAATAAATAAAAATCTTTTTATTTATTATACGGCCCCCACCATGTGGAGTTACCTCCCTGCTACGCATGCGCAGCCAACCAGGTAAGCACCTAGGCCCGTATCATCATTCCTTCTGCTGAATAAATCAGTGAACAGAATTGCGGGGAGGTGGGTGGCCCTACCCCAAGGATGATTCTCTTCAAAGAATTGGAAACCTCTACAGATTTGGCTAATTCTTTTTCATAGAGATCGTCCTTGGGGTACATATATGCATTAACTCAGACTCCCAAAGACCGGAGGCTAGGAGGAGGGAATTCCATCAAAGTACACATAAATAGCGATCGTTAGGAAGAATGAAACAGACGCCACAACGCTCACCTGTCACGTGTTCCAAAACTTCCGCAAGAGGCATGATGGGAGGGTAACCGACAGGGAGGAAAGTACTGAGACCCGATCTCACAGGTTAAGCAAAGCAATACGCACACTGTGCGAAAGTAAAAAACCCCGCCCACATCGTGAAATCTATTAAAGAGCACTGTAAGGGGGAAAACCAACTCACAACCGACTATAATCTCATGAGAGAAATCGAAAGTAGTTAGATATGATAACAGCGGATATATCAATTATACACAATTGAAAGCAGTGTCAACTGTCCAGATAACCAAGACTCACTAGGTCAGGGTGGCAGGACACTGTACACTGGAGAGAACAGAACGGCCAAAACGTGCACGATCACGAGAATGTGTATCGAGCTGATAGTGCCTGATGAAAGTGCTAGGCCGGCTCCAAATAGCGCCAGAGCATATCTCTTCAATGGGCAGTGCCGATGCAAAAGTCTTTGAAGTGGCCACTGCCCTGACCGAGTGAGCCTTCAACCCCTCAGGGAGAGGCTTGCCCTTAGCCTGATAAGCAGCACAAATGACCGATACAAGCCAGCGTGATAGGGTCTGTTTGCTAGCCGGCATGCCAGCCTTCCCGCCACCGTAACAGCAGAACAGATGGGTACCCGTATGACAGCAGGTCGAACCCAATCCACGCCAGCTAAAAAGCGCTGCATAAGAGGGTGCTGCCCCAGAAGAGCACCATCGACAGGGGTGTGGAAAGTGGAAATAGTGGTGGAGTAGCCACGAATGGTTGAAGCCGCCAAACCTTCTTCCAAACGACCTTGCAGAAACTCCAATACTCAGACTAAATCAGCAGAAAAGGGATCTGCAATCCCCCTATCTGAACACCAGCGCGCATAGGGGGACCACCTATCCTCATATTGAACATTTGTTGAATCCCGCCTGAAGCCAGAATTGTGTCTGGAGGAATTCCGCATGCTTCGAGGCTAGACCAGACAGAGGCCAAGCCACCCACTGAATCCTTGGATTGGGGTGTGGCGCCGTTCTGAGTGAGAATGTCAGAACAGGAGGCTGAGCCAGAAACCTGAAAATTACCGGAAACCAGCTCTGTGATGGCCATAGCGGTGCCAGTAGCACAAGTAGCCAAGCTGGCTGGGTGGACAGCTGGGAGAGGACCCGGGGAATGAGTGGTACAGGCGGAACTCCCACAGCACCTCGCCCGTCCACTCCAGCAGGAAGGCGTCGGAAGCCAACGCCCTCTGGTCCGGTATTCAAGAGCAGAACACGATCGAGCATCCACTCGAGCGGGGCCAGGATCCGGCGAGAGAGAGCGTCTGCTCGCACGTTCTCCAGCCCCGGGAGATAAACAGGAATCACCTGACAGTCGCACTGGTCGCACCAGAGGAGAAATTCCCACGTCTCACGAAGGAGCTCTAGGGACACCGTGCCGCCTTGCTTCAGGACGTATGTCATGGCCATACGGTTGTCCAACTGAAGACAAACCACGTTGCCCTGGACATGCTCCCGGAAGCGCTCGAAAACCAACCGCACAGCTCTCAGTTCTAAGACATTGATGTGAAGGCAGGCTTCGGCTTCGGACCAGAGTCCGGACACCGACAGACTGCCCAGAACACACCCCCAGCCCGTGAGGGACGCATCGGTTTGAGGTGTAAGAGCTGGCGTCGGGATTTCCAAAGGGACCCCCTTGGAGAGATTCCCGACATTGGTCCACCACTGAAGGTGAGGAGACAACCACCCGGGGACTGTGAGACACTTCTCCAGATCCTCCGAGTGAGCCCACAGACTCGCCAAAGCTTGCTGTATTGGGTGCATCCTCAACTGCGCCCGCCACACGACAGAGATAGTTGTCGCCATATGACCCAGTAGACGGAGCCAAGTCCGCGCTGGTGCCTGGGGTTGGGAGAGGAACGAAGACACCATCTCCCATACTCTGGTGACCCGGCTGGGCGACAAAGAGACAAGACCCTTGTGAGTTGTGACCCGCACCCCGAGAAAAACCAAGTCCTGGGTGGGTACCAGGTCGCATTTCTTGAGGTTTATGATCCACCCCAGTCGAACTAGAATTAGAGCGCTGAGCAACCAGTCGTCGAGGTAAGGGTAACAACGCTTTCCTTGTGACCTTGCGAGGGTAGCCGGCAATAACATCAGCTTGGTGAACACCCTGGGGGCAGTGGATATGCCGAAGGGGAGCACCGTGAATTGGTAACACATCCCGTCGTAAGAGAACCGGAGGTACTGCTTGAATGATGGATGAATTGGCACTAGTAGATACGTATCCTTTAGGTCGATTGACATAAGCCGATCGCCGGGCTGAACAGAGGAGATCACTAAGCGAAGTGTCTCTATCTTGAAGGATGGAACCTCTAACATGCGATTCAACCCCTTGCGGTTCGGAAAGAGGAAGTACGTGGAATAAAACCCTGCCTGTTCTTCGCCCGGTGGTATGCGCTCTATTGCGGACTTGTCCAGCAAAGCCTGAACTTCGGCTCGCAGTATACCCTCCTTGACCGGACAGGACGGCACCGGAGTGTGTCTTATGCCGGTGAACTCTGGCGGGCCTCGCTTCCACAGTGGTAGATGACCGACTCTGACGGTGGATAGCACCCAAGTGTTGCTGGTAGCCTTTTCCCACTCTGGTAGGAACAGAGAGAGGCGGCCCCCCACTGGGACATGTGGTAAGAGTAGAGTGAGTGAGTGGTCCCCTGCAGATGAACTGGCTGGGACAGACCCACGGCGACAGCCTGCAGGTTTTACGGGAGGTCGGGGCGGAACCCCGCGACCGCTAAAAAGCTGCTGGGAACCAGACGAAGGGGCCTGCTTCTTGCCCTTACCTTTGTCAGGACGGCTCCTCCTCCTACCTCTACCCAGCGGCGGAAGCCGGCCGGCAGACTCGGACGTAGGCTGTGCCCCAGAGGAAGAACCCGCTACAGAAGTGCGAAAGCGAGAAGCCCGCTGTTGCTCCAACAAGGCCTTAGAGTCCTTGAAGGAGGTAGTTGCTGCAGCAGCCTCCCGTATGACCTGCTGAGCCCCCAGAAACAACGTTGCTCCCAGCTAAAACGGAAGGGCCAGCAAGGTCTGCTGTGTTGTTGCCGAATAACGGGATGTAGACAGCCACAGCTTGCGCATCCCCATGACTGCGCACATCACCGTAGACGCGGCAGTCCGTAAAGAGTCCCGCGTCAGGTGGGCCTGTACTTCGGATAGTTGGCGGAGCAGAACAACATTCGGGGAAACGTCACCAGTGCTCCCTTCTGCCTCCAGAGCCAACCTTTGTATCGAGGAAAGGTATGCCTCGTGGACCACGACCTGCACCTGCTGCATGGCATTCCCGTAGACTTTCTCGTAAGTCTGGTATGCCTGCTGCAGTGGGGTGTCTGCTAGGGCAAACGGTGGTACTAACCGCCTTTGCTTGGCAGCCGGGGCTGCACCTGAGGAGCCGAGCTTCCCCCGAGGGCGACCGAAGTAAACACGCACTCGTCAACCACCGGCACAAAGAACAGAGAATCATCTCCAGCTGATATCTCTTAACAAATTCGGGTAGATCGAACCGTAGGTGAGAACCAACCAGGAGGGGGTCCATCACGTCCTGCACCAGGGAAGGCAAGATACGGAGCTGTGTCTGAGAGGGTTGCCTAGGGGCAAACGCCACATCCGGCAGGCGGAACTCAGTTGAGTCCGAGCAACATGTCGGCACCGCGGTTTGGGGAATATACTCAGCAATATGTTGCCTAACCTCCCAGAGAGCTGACGAAAAATGGAAAGTACCCTCCGACTCCTCGACCTCCCCAACCTCCATAGACTCGGCACCTGAGCCCGTGTCAGAATTCGTATCTCCACGTGAAGAGGAGCCGGACCCCGACCCAGCTGGGAGGCCAAGCCACAGATGCCGCGGGAAGGGAAGAGCCAAAGGAACTCTCAGCTCCGGCCACCGACACAACAATCTAACCCCGGTCCCGAGACACAGGAGGAAGGCCGGACAGAACCGGCTCCTCCGCTCTCATGGGGCGGGGCGGCGCAGGGACCGGAACCCCAGGAATCCTCAACGGACCCTGAACCCTCCCCCTCCGGGGTAGCCGAGGCATCCGGACCCAAAGCCAAAGGCAAAGGATCGACAGACGCCTCCAGGACAAGGGATCCAGCCGAGCTCGCCGATCCCACACCCGGACTTCACAGAGTCCATATGCTGCTGAAACAATTGAGTGATAAGTGACATATCAAAACCACTGGACTAGGGCTTCCACGGGTACTCGAGTACTCGAGGACGAGTCGGGTTTAGCTGGACTCGAGTCCATTTCCAAGGACTCGAGGACTCGAAAAGGGGAGATAACTCGAATTATTGACGTTGACGGACTGTCTGCCATGTGCTAAGCATGAGCGACCGTTAACGTCTAATATTAAGATAAGATATAACTTTATTATCCCGGAGGAAATTCTCATACATCCAAACTGTCTCAAAATGAATATATACACAGTTCACAAAAATATACACAATAATTACATGCTCAAAACGAATGCTATTTACAAATAAAACTGACATGATATAATTCAATTAACAACATAGGTAAAGAGGCTGAATAATTCTCGTTCTAATCACATGATGGTGATTCAAAATATTTGTTGCATTCACGAATACTTGATGGTATGAAAGACTGTCGAGCTCTGTTTTGAGGGAAGGTAATCGACAGCAGCGCCCAGAAGGAAGTAGTTCAAAATGGTGAGATCAAATATGTCAACTATCAAATCTAAGTTTAGCTGCCTTTTGACTATACTCGAAATACACTTCAGAAATTTTGCAAGCAGTATTAACAATTTTGAAAAGTCTGTTTTTGTTGCGATGAGACAGATCCCCATACCAACATAGAAAATTGTAGGTCAACACACTTTGAATGAAGGTTTGATAAAAAACTGTCATTACGGTTTTGTCAATGCTTTGACGATAATACTGTTCAGAATCAGAAATTAGGCCAGTAACAGTGGCGTCATCTGCAAATGTTACAGTAAACAAGTCATATATTGACAAGTAACAGTCACCGGTATACAAAACGAAGAGTACGGATGAAGGAACACAGCCATGTGGATCTCCAGTAGAGGTTGAGAGAAAAGACTGACTGAGTTTGGTTTTACGCCGCTTTTAGCAATTTGAGAGAAAAGAAGATTGATAGCCATTGACACTGACAAACTGAGTTCTATGTACCCTGAATTCTTTAACCCATCTGATAATGTTTTTATTAACACCTAGATTAAATAGTTTACTCCTCACAAGGTGTGGCTGTATGGTATTAGTTGTTACAAGTCTGCAGATGAGAGTCAATATTATACATCGATTGAGATTTCACTTCTTAAAATGATTAGGTAACTATCTTGACAATTGATCGTTTGCTTGAAAGGTATGAATTTCGAGTACTCGGGTCCGAGTCGAGTCTCACCCCTCGAGTACTCGAGTCCAAAAAAATGGACTCGTTGAAGCCCTACACTGGACGGAGGCGGAGAGTGTGACCTATGTGAAGACTTAGATCTAGTTTGCTTAGCCTTTTGGGCCTTGGACGGGGGAACCTCCTGGGTCAGGTCCCCTCCCGCCTCCCGTAATTCCTTATAAAAAAGGAAGTCAGCCGCCCGTCTCTTCTGGACCCAGGGGGAGAAGCCCATGCACAACTCACAGATGTCAGGGTTATGCCCTGCCTTCTCCAGACAGCATCAAATCAAAACGAATAAAGACCATACATACAGTTGTTGAAGTCTCAGACATTCTTCTACAAGAAGTAAATCAGCTAGTAACTCTTGGGTAAATACGTGTGAACGCTAGAGTGACAGCAGAAGGAATGATGATACGGGCCTAGGTGCTTACCTGGTCGGCTGCGCATGCGTAGCAGGGAGGTAACTCCACGTGGTGGGGGACGTATAATAGATAAAAAAGATTTTTATTTATTGTACAATATTTGTATTAAAACATTGATACAACTGTCACATGACATTTTCTGCAGCAGAAAATGCATATATGTACCCCAAGGACGATCTCTATGAAAAAGAATGTATATTTATAATAATTTTCCAGACTCATGTTCTGCATTAATCACTCCACAAAGTTGTCCAACGATTATTCTCAGTGGCAAAATACTGGATAACCTGTATTATTGACAGCAGTGACCCAACTCATCACACTTAATTGTTAGACAACTTGGCAGAGTGAATGATGCAGGAAGACAAAAAAACATCATTAATAAACTAAGATATACTGTTTGAAAATGTAATCTTTGGATGTTTTGGAAAAATTAAATAATCTTTTCCAGTCTGAAAATATTTGCCTATGTTTAACCTCTTACATAATCTTATCATTTGACAGGAAGGACAGATTCTGCAATCAGTGTTCAGTGATGAACAACATTTTGCATCTTACTGATAGGCATACATACCATCCAGATTTTGGTCCTGAGTGAGATGGGTCCACGCACCTCATATATCCAGTTGTGGTAGGTAAGGAGCAGACGCAAGGTGTACTGTATGGCAAAGATTACCACCAGCCACAGAAGTGTAGAGAACAACACACAACTCACATATAGGCACATGGACGTGCTGGCTACACCCAGGCTGAAGCATGAATCATTTAGCAATCATAAGGTTACCAAACGAAATAAAGGTCTTGTCACACAGACACAAAAAGGTAACATCAATATCATGGTACATGTTATCCATTTGATGTCAACGACAAAACCTATTGCAGAGTTTGAGGAAAATGTTGGATTTCATTTCCATACACAAATATTCAAAATTACTTGCATCAAGTGACCCTGTAATTTACAAGCATGTGTGCAAACTACTGTCAGAGTTTGGGATTGGCATATTAAAATAGACAGGGATGGGTCAGAATATACCAGCCTCTTCAATTGTTTTGGACCTTGTTAAGATAATAGCAGGGATAACAAGAGTCAACATATGATGACAAATTACCCCTGCCCCAACATATTTGAAATAACAAATCATCTGACAGTTTAAGTCCAACTTGATTGTTTTTAGACTAAGTCCAAATGGTTTCTGTGGAAATCATGAAAGATATAACAGACTGTAAATAGCAAAAGGCACCACTTTGGGATCTGTCTCATATATCTGCCAAGTTCTGTTGAAAGATACTGAAAGGTTTTCGAGTTGTGCTCCACAAACAAAGCCCACCCCTCCCTTTTGAGACAAAGTCCAAATCGTTTCCATGGAAACCAAGAAAAATATAAATGACAAAATCTGTAAATACAAAAGGCACCACTTATGGTTCTGTTTGATATATATACCAATTATTGTTATGTATCAAATCTGTTTCAAAAACTATCACAAAACGCTACATTTGAACTGCGACATAAGTTTCACAATTGTGAGTAGAGTGAGTGAGTGTTTTTTATGCCGATTTTAGCAATATTCCAGCAATATCACAGTGGGGGACACCAAAAATGGGCTTCACACATTGTACCCATGTGGGGAATCGAACCCAGGTCTTCGGCATGACAAAGGCTTTAACCACTAGGATACCCCACCACAACTTCACAAATTCCTGTGATATTTCAGTAAAATTTGAGGTAAATAACTGTGAAAGGTACCTAGACAACACTTACAATGATCTGGAATGCCATATTATGCAAGCTTTGTGAATTCTATATATTTCTTATGATAAGTACCATATGAAAACAGCAAATTTCTTGATGTTTGTTGATTTCATGTGCTTTAAAGCCAGTGCCATTTTTATCTCCAACCTGAGCCCAAACCTCTACAGGTCCTAACTCACAACTCCAGTTTAGTACATTTTATGCTATTATCATGAAGTTGATTAAATGGGCTATTATCAGCGGTCCCAGTATTAGTAGTGGTTACCAACCTCAACAGAATTTCAGTACAAGTACACAGGTACAAGTTTACCATTTATATAGTTGACATCAAAGCTTCTCTTCATATAATGTTTGCATAGGGCAAAAAGGCCCAACGGTTTGATTAGTATAACATAACATTCGTAACTACTCATGTCATTATGGCAAGCCAGATGGCGAATCATACCCCTCTCGTGGCCATGTTCACGACTGGGCCTTGTCTAAGCATAAACGGGCACCAAGATTAAAATAGTCTTGGACTATTTCCAAACATGTCTACTACTAGAAAACACCAATTAATTTATAATGCAACACGAAAGTCACTTTAAGTAAGTTTCTTATGTCGTTAAGAAATATCAGTAACAACATAATTTTATAGTCACGGAAAAATAAGGAAAGTCGATAACAGCAAAGAAAGTATTTGAATTCATTTCACATTTTACTATGCACAATTTGATTGGTTTGCCACAATTCTTGGCAATAATGGCGTACTATACAGGTACAAGTCTTCTTGTAGGTCACGGAAAGAGGTGAGTAGTTACGAATGTTAGGTTTGTATGATTTTCGTTGAGGGAGATCAAATATCTGATCAAATACATGGACAGGAGGTAACCTAACTTTTGCAACTAAATTCAAACAATATTGTTCCTTTAAGTACATTTATTGTTTGTAGTTGTTCATGCTGTTTCAATCCATTCTCAGAAATCCTGGAGCTATGTACCATAGGCCTGAATATAATCTAGTCTGGACCAAGAAATCCAGCAATCCTCAAATGGCATCAAAAGTTTAACACATGCAAAGTCTGTGAGTCTGATTTCCCAGTCTGTTTATCTGCCTCTTATAAGCCTAGGTTGATGGTGCCCTGTATTCAACCAATTAACCTTTATTCTGTACAGAGGCCGAAAGAGGCCACAGGCCCATTGTACATAAAATATACATACATTTATATTCGCCCAAGTAGTAACTTTTGCATTGTTTCAAATATTACTATTTTTCTTTCTTTGTAATGTTGCATGGAATATAAATATTGATAAATTCTGAAGTATTAAAATGTTTGTACTTGTTAGTAATGATATAAATTAAATAACGTTTGGATATCTATAAAAATGATTTGGTAAATATTTTCTTCTAAGATCTGAGTACAGTGGACAAACAAAAAGGAAATGGTACTCATCCTCAACAGTATTTAAATCACATTGTTGCCATAGTCTCTCTTGTCGATAAATATTAGTATAGCGTCCAGTTTCTTTAAATAAATCATGATGAGATGACCATTGAAAATGTGATAATGCAACTCGGAACTTCTTTACTATTAATAGCGTTATCTTAGAGAAGTGCCACTCCAAACTTATTTGCGCTTTAAAAAGTTTGTAATAGAAACATTTGCTTGATAAAGTCAGTGATTCAAACCATGTCTGCTCATAAATATCTTTAAGTCTTTGAGTCAGTGACATGATAAAATTAGGGTAGCAGCTAACGTTCAGTCATACCATGCGTTACTAAAACCAGTTTTAAACAGAAATGTTTTGATATTCGTTACGCAATTATTTTTCCATTATTGCCATAAACTATCATTATGCTGTAACACATTTTGGGAAATCTATGTGCAGGCATGATCAACAATCTTAACCAGTCTTTGATAGCCTTAACTTGAGAAAATATATGTGCCCTGTATTCTTGATCCTTAAAAGTTAAAAACAATAGTATATTTATTAACCAGTCAAAGAGACAATATCAAGACTTACAGTGGTATATGTGCCTGGATGTAGGAGATACAGCCATAGGAAGGGTCATATCCTCCAAGGACAAGAGCCAGTATCAATGTAAGGGTGAAGATCAGTGAGACCGGGGATGCTGGGTAAACGCCATTATGGAAGTTGTTCTGAAGTTACAACAGTCATTTCAGTTAAAAACACTCACAAGCCAATAGGCATGTCACGATACATAAGTTTCATGAATCGATATGTATCACGATACCCATGTCATGATTCAATATGTATCACGATACCTATTTTCGCAGCATTATTGCCTAAATTTAGTTACATTTTGAACATTAATATTACAGATTTAATAGTTGTCCATGAAAAGATTAACATTTTTTTATTCTCAGAGATTATAAAGTTCTAATTTCTCATCTTTGTGCATGAAAAATAATCATTTATAACACTCATAACATAAAAAAACACGATACAATTGCAAAATGTAAACGATGCAAAACAATATTTATACCAATACTTTGAAAACTAAATATCGATACAGTTTTGAATGAAACGATAATTGTATCGTCTTAGAGAAATGTATCGATGTATCGTGGAATCCCTACAAGCAAAGCTTGACTTCCTTTGTTTCTTTATCATTAATAATGTTCATCTCAATCTAAAAACTCTTAAATTAAATGCAGTGATTATTGTACTAGTGGTCGCATCAATCACTTTTCAAATCTACATCATTACTTTACAATGCTTATTTCACAACTATTCGATCAAACAAGAACAAGAAACATTATATAACCCCCAAAACCAATTTCATTAACACCCTGTTGACAAGGATGTAACTTCATGTAAGAATGTGATCTGTGAACCATGAACCAAATTAAGGCTATTGTCAGCTGATAATTTAACCGTAGAAAGTGACTACTTTTAGTCTGTGCCTTCAGGCTACATAAACAACAATCCTATGTCACTACGGTCCTGGAGTCTGTTGCTGAAGGCCAGCTATTATCTCCTGCACATTGACAATGACTACAAACAACAGCCAAACCCTTTTACACTGATTTTTACATATTCTGGAAACCAAGCAACAGGGCATCCTATCTATTCATGTTATATTCAGTTCATATTTATGCACTGTTAATTTCGTATGCTGGCCTGAATAATTGCATTTATTGTATTGTCACAATACCACTTCTATTCAACACCTTTTTGGAATCCACATGCTCATACTATAGAGTGAACTTACCTTCATACGTCCCATTCTCTTCTTCCAGGACAGTAAGCCACTGTCCCACACTGCCTTGATAGCCTCATGGTTGAGGTTGACATTGACTCCATCTGGGGTGACAGTGAAGGAGAAGGCAACAGCGGCATGAGCTTCCGCCATTATCACAGCGCAGAAACCAAGATGTTATTGCCTGAAAGACAAGGAGCATCACATTTTACTAGTAAAATAACAGTATCAGTATAATAAGGCAAGAGTAGCCTGTCTGTCCATGAACCTTTCAAATCTATATGCTCCACTAACAGGACCACAAGTTAATATTCCAAGGAAATATATTTTGCTGTTTGTAACAAGCCCAAGGAACTTCATACTTACTGATAGAAAAGATTTGATTGAAGAATGGACTTTGGGCTGATGAGTTGAGGCGCATAATCATGATAACAGAGATGGAATTTGACATAAATGCTTGCTGGAGTCGCGAGAACATGTCATATACATTATGCATAATTAATCCATATGTCAATGATACTTTTAACGCTAGATAAAGAGACTTTGCAAGCAGGATATTGCATATTTTACCCTAAGATAAATTACCATGAAAAACAAACAAGATACTGCTAGTGGGAAGCAATTACCACAAACATTATTTTCATGGAGAAAACAGTTGTTGCACTACAGATGTGACATATTCAGTGATACACTTTTAAAGTAAATGTAACCAAAACACTTCAGAGGGCAGTATTCCTTTTGTGACCTTGATCCAGTGACATTATTTATTGTCATATCATCAGAAGGAACATTCACATCAACTCAGGTTATCGGTGAAGTAGGGTCAGAGGAGGAGATATCTCTGAGAGAGATAAAATGGTAATATTGACAGTAATGGTGACCTCGTCTAGATGAAAACTACCAAGCCAGCTGTTGTTCATTTCCCATGATTGAGCGTCAGTATGTCACATGATTACATTGGCAATTCAGCTGAATGTTACAGAACCTTCAATATTTTGCTCATCATGGAATTTGTTAATGTGAGGCAATGTCATCATCACTTGATGAACATCAACATATACAATCCTTAAATACTGACACTAGTGACAGGAGGAAGTGACGTTGCCTGGATGAACACTACCAAGCCAGCTGTCATTCATTTCCCAATGAACATCAGCATGTTTATGGGATTACGTTGTCAATCAATCAGAGAGTAACAGAATTACATTTGGGGAATCCCTCAATTCAAAAAATTAATGTCTGATTGGGACAATATCATCATATCACCTTCAAATAACTCATACACATGAGCATTTATTAAGCAGCACCTGAATTCAAGGGCAATCATACCTTAGCTTTTAAGGACATAAAGTTGTATTTGTTGACATTCTGAGCTAATTCCATGATGCCCTCGTGTGATTCAAACAGGCCTCAAACGTTTGCAGAAAGATCCATTTTCAACAAAAAACAGGTCTAGATTTCATTCCAATTCCATTCCAATAACACTAAGGGATGTCACCGTTCACACATCTCCTAAATGATGCTATAACCATGTTCCTGTCCATGGGATGCTTGGTTGCCATAGAAACCATATTTGAAAATCTCCTTTTATCCATCTTTTTTTTCACCATTTTTTCACCATCGTTCTAGTGTATGAAGAGGATTGGATAAAATAGGATTGCAGGGTAATATGTGGTTGGATCTACACATGTTTAATATAACTTTTCCAATTTGGAACACTCAAAAGATGTCATCATTACGACTAAGAGGAACACATCTGCCCTATTTCAGCAACATCAGTCCAATAATTTCACAAATACAGATGTCATCTACACTACCAAAAGACTGAGTTACCTTCAGGTACTTGAGAAATAATCAGTTTTAACAAGAGTCAAGGGCAGGTTAGATATCATGTAACACATATAACATCAGGATGTCCATACGGAAGCTACTACCAGTACCAGATGCTGCCATCATGTTCATAGTCATAAAACTGGAGTGGCAACTGTAGCAAACATCTACATGACAGTGCCTGCTTATCAATATGATTAATGCTTGTACACACCTAACATATTGTATAACATACTGTATGTGAGTAAAGACCAGGAAGCGACATGTATGCCAAGCAATACAGATACAGTCAGAGTAGGAAGTGGTCAGCTAGTCACGAACTTACATCACACAAGGTTCAGCTATTTACATCATCACACAATACATGGGTGTCCATGTGACCTTGCCATAATTCATGGGACTGTTTTTCCACATCAGATGCAAGTGACATTCAATGAGTCAAGTTATGATGTTTTCCAAAGGTGGCTGCATAACACACACATCCTATCACTGCTGTTCATGACCAAAAATGGCTTATCTCAGTCAATTTGATTTGTGTTCTATGATTATCAGCTGCACTGTGTCATGTATTGGTAATAGAATGACTTCATAATGTCCCTAAAGCACTTCCCACACACAAGAGTTCAATGTGTAGAAACAGATTTATACTGGCACAGTGGCAGACATGAGTTAAAGAAACAATGTATCAGTTTTACACAGGCGCTTTCACAATATACCTAACAGACTGGAAACTGGCACCAGAATATAGGAACATAAGGACTCTTTAACAAGGTTGTGCATTAGTATAGTTTAAAAAAGTTTCCAAACAATTTCAGACACCTCACAGAATTCACTTAACAGCTTAATCTTTCAGACACTCAAGAGTAGTAGTACAGGATATCTGTGGCCCGAATACCACTATTACCAGTTTATCAGGCATCACACAGATGTCGGTGACTTCCTTGACCTACATCAAAAGGCAAAAACTGTCCAGTGATACATTTAGCCTCATGTCACAGAAAAACACCACTGAAACTAACACATACATATCTGATGTAATTACGCAGACGTGGAGAGATAGTTAACAGACTGAAGGTCCTTCTGTAGGTTATCAACATCATCAAGCTGTCTAGGTCAGAGTAATAACGCGCACTTACTGATAACATTCACTTGTTACAGCACACCTGAGTGTCCGATACACATTGATACAAGCCAACACACTCTAGTACAATGACCTGATTAAAGTTACATTGAAGTGACATAATTGTCTACTAGTGCCAAGTAACATTCTGGTGAAAAAAGTTCAGGTTTCCTTAATTTGCTGCCCCAAACAATCAAATATGTAATACCACATAGCTCTGGTAATACCTACTGTAATAGTGAGTGGGTGAGTATGGTTTTATGCTGCTTTTAGCAATATTCCAGCAATATCTTGGCAGGGGACACAAGAAATGGGCTTCACACATTGTACCCATGTGGGGGAATCAAACCCGAGCGGAAGCTATAGCCATTAGGCTAGCCCACTCCTTAAAGAGGACTGATACAGACATTGACAAAATCTTAAGAACAAGCAGAAAGTATAGATTATGACCAGTCTGTTCCAAGTGGATTCATTTTCTCAGTTCCATGGAAAAACATTTTCAACATTAATTGACAAGGAAGTTGTAATTAGTTTATTCTTTAGCCTAGTTCTTTAGTTCTTTTTCTGAAAAAGGGATGAAATAGGCTTGGTTTCCTGATCAAGTTGAGACGTCATCTCTGTTACCATGGTGACTATATTACTGTGAGGTCATCAACAATGGATGTCTCACCATAAACCATCAGCAACAATCTGTTCATAATGTTCACATGGCATCACAATGCAGTAGAAAAAGTCAAACAATGAAACAAACATTGTAATCATAATGCTTCAGGAAAGCCCAAAGTGGAGATTCATATTTTGCTTTGGTGAAATCCACTAGCATGGGCATGCTGCTAACAAACCTAGAAACACAATCAAGGGGAACCAGCATTCGAACCCAGAATTACAGGTTCCTAGTATGCAAAGTAAATAGTTTCGCCACAAACTGACTGACTGAGTTTGGTTTTACACCATTTTTAGCAATATTCCAGCAACATCACAGCGGGGGACACCAGAAATGGGCTTCACACATTGTACCCTTGTGGGGAGTCGAACCCGGTTTGGGCGTGACGAGCCAACGCTTTAACCACTAGGCTACCCCACCGCCTTCGCCACAGACAACTGGGCCACCCATGCACACTTGTATCAGGAAAACGTATTGGTTCACTGAAGTTTCACAAACACTCAGTATCACATAGAGCCCTGTTAAATTTTGATTACTACATAGCAATATGATACACTGAGCTGTCAGCAAGGATCCTCAAAATCTTTTCACAGGAAAATATATGAAAAGAAACAACAATCAGGGCAAGCTGAGGAAGTCCAGTAAAACTTTACAGCAATATGATACACTGAGGTGACCCTGATACACACAGTGACCACCTGGACAGTTATAAAATTCCCCTTATCAGTACAACAATACTGCACTATGGACTCGGTAAGCAAGTGTCAAGGAATGTGAACAGGGAAACCTGGTCAGTGATGTCATGAGGGCCTGTGATCATGGTGATAGTGAGGTATAGAGTTGACTGTCATTGCCATATGATGGGACTTGTAACGCTAGGGTCATTCAGTGATGGACTGGTCACAGGTGTCATTCAGTGATGGACTGATAACAGACAATATCATGATCATGAGCTGATGGACTGCTCATCAACGTTATGTGCTGACAACTGTAGTGGTCAGTGATGAACAAAGTCCATCCAATAAATCTTTTTGATCACTACAGAACTACAGACTTCAAAATTTGCACTGGTCACTAGCTTGTGGTGAGGACAAGTAAATATCCGATGATGATATAGACTATTAGCATTTGAGGGCTATAATTCCAGTCTGTGCCAAAACGTTGTGAGTCTGTTACTTGTGTTAGCCTGTTCTTTTCATTTCGGCATCATTAGAATATTACATAACTTAGGCTTCGGACAATTGAATCAGACTGTAATTCTGAACCAGCTCAAAAGACTTCAATTTTGTAACAAATTGGAACTTAATACACCTGATAAAAAAATGTAAACATTGAAAACATATTTATCCTGTTTAATCATGACTCACAACAAACTAGTCCTTAAATAAAAATAGACATTAACAGGTGCATAATCAGTTTCCACATAATGGAGGTAATGGAAATGTAACAAAAATGTCATTTTATGCCAGAACTTTCCATTTTCTGTAGTGAAAGTCAACATTGTATGATGCTGATCACCTACAAAGACCAAGAAATAAGATACTACCGGATTAGTTGTTTTAGGGTGGGC